TCACTATCCCGAGCTCGTAGCCAAAAAAGGATGGCCAAAGCGAAAATGACACCCCACCCATTGGGGGCCACTTGAGCCGGAGCCAACCCAGTCCGGAAGAGAAATTATTGGACAAAAGGGTGAAGGGGAAGTCTGAGGCCGTACTCAAACATTTTGAAGTAGAGAGTGACCCATCCCTCTGGAGGATTGTCAGCTCTCTCCCCCTCCTCCGGAAGCCTGAGGAGGATGTTCTCAGGGATAGCGAACCCCCTACGAAGGGATCCGAGGTAGTGCTCAGGTATCCTAGAAGGGTATTCTAAACCCTGACCTGAGGTGGAGGCGTCGCTATCCTCCCCGTCATCGGAGAGTCTAAAGTTTTCTATCTCCTCGAGCTCGGACTCTAACCTACGAGCTAAGTCCTCATCGGATCCTGAGTTGCTGCTAAAAGAGGACGACATGGCAACTACGTTCGAAAGAGAAAGTGAGGGAAGAGACCGACCTACCAAGGGTTCGAGCTGCCTTCAGGTCGAACTCCAAGAATTCAGGGAACGTAAGGTATGACCTGAAGGATTGGGGGCATTTATAGCCCGTCGGAAGAATTTCCCCACCGTACACGTGTAATCAACGAGCGGCTAGGATCCTCCCTTAGATCCGAAGCATCGGAATATTTGAATATTCCAACGATAAATCTTCCGCGACGGTTATATTGGTGCTCCAAGATGGCTCATAAGTCATGTCCAGCTCGGACGTCGAGATCACCACTACTAGCGTTGACAGATGCTAAGTATGAGGGCCGAGGTGAACCTGGCCGAGGTTCGACCTACCGGGAAGCTCGGTGGGGGCCGATGCGAACTACAGTCAGCGGCGTGATTATCGGGCATAGTCGTCGGTCCCGAGATTACCGGGTGTAACCGACGATCCCGAGATTACCGGGTGTAACCGTCGGTCCCGAGATTACCGGGTGTAACCGACGATCCCGAGATTACCGGGTGTAACCGTTGCGAGATTAGCGGGACTACCACCCATAAGTAGAGGACTTCACTCCACGATCAGGTACGATGATTTCTGGCCTCGAACTAAACTGGGAATCCGACCTATACTGACTTGATGGTCGGAGTGCTCACCTTTTTGTGCAGGTCCGCCCAAGGATTCAGATCGGTCCGGAGGCCGAGTTCGAGCTACAATCTAGAATACACTGTTGTGCATATCTTTGCATAAACAGTATCTAATAAGCTTTTGAATTAAAGTTAAAAGTATAGGGAAAAAATGAAAATTATAAAAAAAAGGACTAAAATGAGTTAAGATTGAAAGTATAGGGACCAAAACAATATTTTAACCTTATATTAACGAGTTTTAATATAGAATTTGTGTTGAAATGGATACTTTTTAAAGTAGAATGATCGAAACAAACATTTCGAAAGTATATAGATTAAAATGAATAAAAGTAGAAAGTTAGAAAGACACACACGAACATTTAAAAAGTAAATGAACAAAAACTGAAATCACATCAACCAAAATAGTATAAGGTAAAATACATTTTTAGACCTAGGTTAGTATTCTATTTTTGACCTCCAAGTTCCAAAATCAAATAGTTTAGTTTTTAAAATTTTGAAAATAGTTCTAAACAATCTCGTCGATAATTTCTCTACAGAAACGTAACGTGGCAAATTTATATGTATACGTGGCATATTTTTCAATTTAAAATAATTTTTTATTGCTGACATGGAAAAAATTATTAAAATTAAAATATAATTTCTCTCCCCCTCCCTCCTTCCGAAACTTTTGAAATTTAGAGACCAAAGGAGTAAATCGTGAGATTGTGAAACTTAGGAATTTTATGTATTTTATCTCGTAATATTTTAACATTTTTGTAAAACTCATAAACACAAAATTAAAAAGTTAATCTTGTTATTTAACCGACCGCATAGGCAGGCAATCCACCGTCTACTCTTCTCTCACTGCTCTCTCTCTATCTCTGTGATTTCGTCAGTTCTTTCACTTTCAGCTTCCAACAGAGTTTCCCAGATACCGTCTTCTCTTCTTACAGATTTCGCGCCCTATCTTTCCATCTCCTACACTCTCTGCTTTGTTCATCCTCATCGGTTACCTTCTCCGGTGCCCCCATATGGATTCCTTCTCGATTCCTTGTCTTTTTGTCCCTGAAATTCTCTGTTGACGCTCTTACTGCGCGATTCGAATCTTTTTATGTAATGGGTAATTGGAGAGAGCGTCCGCGTAGGATTTTTCGCAAGCAGAAGCCTCCGTGGTCCGCCATAAGAAATTACGATCACGATCCTCCTCTAGGTAATTTTCTCCCTTGCCCATTTTGTGTAATTTGTATTGTGTTACTTTTTTGTCATTTCGATTTTCTTTGATCTCTTGGGCTCTGGGAAATTTTCCCACTCTTCAATTGGGTAGATGTTCCGTTTAACTTGGTTTCTTTCGTTGTTTTGTTGAAAGTGCATCTGGGTTGTTTGGTAATTTATGTTTTGAGGAGTGATTTTTATGGAAAGTTTTGTGGTTTAGGCTGTGCACAAACTTTGGAAAGAAGGAATTTAGATGGTTGGAGTTGGCAGGGGGTTTGATTGGTCCTTTGTTTTGCTTTGTACGTGTTAGGTTTTGTACCAAAAGCATGGCCCTTATCTTTTTCCATAATATTGTGATGCCTGCCCTGCAATTGTACTGGCATTGAAGTTATTCTTTTGAGTAGTTTCTGACTATAAAACTGCAATGTGACATCTGAGTGGTGGCTTTTCTTTTTCTATCAAATTTTGAAATTCTGACAAGTTTGGGTGGTGGATTACGATGGTGTATGTGATTAGAAATGGGGAAGGGGAGTGCTCCACGAGACTAGTTTAATTAGTCATATAATTAACACTCGATTAAAATTCAAACAAAATTGTATCTGGTCCCTCTTCTACTTTTTAAAACCAGCAATGTTATACGAAGGAATTTACCGGGTTTCGATGCATTTTTTGTGTATTCCTCATGTCAATCATTGTGTTTCTTTCAAGTTTCAAATAATGATCCTCATTTCATCATACATTTGAATGGTTCTTGTTCATGTTGGCCAGGCTGTTTTCATGATCTAAGATGCCGAATGTATGATGAAGCATCAAATTCAAGACCTCAATGTCTAATTTGAAATAAATATTAGATTTTGGACTAATAAGGTAGGTGTTATTGGATAAAACAGGTACCCTTATTGAGAATAAGTTGGAATTTGGATGTGTGCTAAGCATGGGGGGGTTGATAATTGAGGTGAAAGAACCAATCCCGTAGTTGAGTAGAGTGGATACTTTATCAAGGGTAAACACAGCTTCTATACCTCTTTCGATATAACTACCTGTTCCGATTATCAATCAAAATTTTCCAACCCATAGATTGTTAAGTGGGGAGGTATTTAAATCCCTGAAGGAAAAAGGGAAAGTAAAGGGATTAGGTGGCCGATTCTATAGTGACAGTGAATTTGTGGAGGGTGATGTAGTGGTGAAAAATATTTGGAAAGGGAGGAGGAATGTGAAGATTCATAAAGGGAGGAGACAGAGAGATCCTAAGGGAGAAGAGAGAGAACTGGAGAGAGAAGAAAGGGACTGAAGAGATGGAAGAGAGAGAGGAGGGTGCAACATAAACGTAGAAAAATCAATGAATAAAAGCTTTGCCACATGCCATCACTTTTTTGAAGTCTCTAACAGAAGGTTGAACTTTCAAAACTTCAAGATAAAATTTGTCTTAAGTTTTTCGATTGAAGAAGAAAACAAGAACAATAATGTGGATGAGCAACAATCGAATCGCCAACCAATTACAAATGATGACTGAAACAATATCTTGGCCTTCATTTTTCGCTGAACCTATAAAAATGTTTTTTGAGTTTTGAAAATTAGGATTAAAATGAAACCTGAACCGAACCTTAGAGATCAAATGTGCGACTTCTCCTTTTATTTGAATTTCTTCACTGATTATAAAGCATTTGGAAATATGCGATGGCGCAATTTTTATTTGTTTGAATAAGCAGAATATGCATTCTAGTAACACCTTGTTTCTTTAGGTTCCTCATCCATATTATTAATCATTCAGTGAAATTGATGGTTCTGAATTAACTTTAACTTTTCCTCTTGGTGTAGAGTTTTGGAAAGATGGTATTCCTTTATGGGAAAAGAAATTCTGCACGGAGATTGGTCGTGTGCCGTGGGGTAAAATAGTTGATTCCAAGAAGTTTATTTATTGTCATAATAATATAGTTAATTGGAATGATTCTGCTTGTGAAGAGGCATTCCATAATGCCAAAAGACGTTTTTGGGCACATACTAATGGCCATCGGTGTGACATCTATCTGCCTGATCCAGACAAATATATTGAAAAAATAGATTGGAATCCTGAAATAGATTCTGAAATGATTGAGGAACTGGATTGGGCATACTTTGCTCCTAATGTGACAGAAAGTGATGATTTGTTGGAGGGTAAAAATAAAAGGACGAAGAACTCCAGTTCTGTTTGGGCAGAAGGCCACATTGAAGATCCAGGTTATGTGGGCAATGCTTGGGAACATGGTATTCAATGCATTGCAAATACAGGAGAAGGATGGAACCAGAGGAATTTAAGTGATCCAGGGAAGGCGAACAACGATGGCAATCCTTGGGACAGTAGCGTTACCCAGGTGAATGGGGGTATAGTCGACAGTGCCTGGAGAGATAAAGTGCAACAAGGTGATACCTCCTGGAATACTAAAGGGTTTTCTAGTGATGCAAGGGGTATGGTGGACGGTTCCTGGAGAGAGAAAGTGCATCAAGGTGGCGCCACCTCCTGGAAGACTAAAGGGTTTGCTAGCGACACAAGAAATAACATGTGGGGCTGGAACCAGAAGCAGCGTGCCTGTAATTTTGATCATTATAATAGGCCTTGGAGTAATAGTTATAATCGGAATGTCAGGAATTTAACAGATAGAATACAGCCAAATAATCAAGGGAATGAACAGGGTTGGAAATATCAGTGGTATGGCAAGAGGCCAAAAGATGCAGAATTTGTTAACATTGAGTGGTAGGGATCATGGGACTGGCACCATTCCTCCCAGGAGTATGTTTCAAGTCCGTGTGTATTCAAAGCCTCAGAGATTATGAATGGTAGCTAGAGGAGTTGAATCACAACACGAATTCTGATTTTGCCCTCAACTAGCTGATCACTTCTTTTTTTGTTCTGAAACTGCAGGATCGTCCATGTTTTGTTAGTAAATTTTCAGTTTTATTTCAACAAGAATGATTACTCCAGGAATTTTGGTATAAAGGATCGTATGGATATGATATACCTGAATATGAATGGCTTGGTTCTTCTGTTCTTTTTCTTCCTTTATTCCAATGATTTATATAGGCATAGAGGGTCAATAGTTGTTGTTGTTGTTAAGATTCCCTCCCAATGCTTGATCCTTGTATTAATAGGCTCCATTAAGTTTGTATCATTTTGATTTGAGAAACCTCTTTTGGCTGGCTTTATAAAGGCAATAACAGCTCTATTATAAATCTAATTCTGCATTGTAAGTCTGATTTCTTCTCCTAAGCCAAGAACACCATGAAGCTCCATTGAATGCGTCATCTTGGTAACCTTCTCATTTGATAGCCTTGCTAGTGCTAGTGATCTCTTGTCCTCATTAACGTTTGATTATTTTCGCTCATTTTTCGTTATCTTTTTTTCTTCATATATCTTTTTCCTCAAACCCACATTCTCACTGATGTTTCTTTTTTCTCAAGAAGAATTAAGTGCCTTTTTTCAGATTTTCAGACAGACTCCGGGGCATGCACAACTTGTTCTTGTTCTTTGATCACTATTCTGAGAATTGAGATTTCCTCTGCTTCGATAGGAGGTAAACCAAGATCTGGGTATCACAAGGACGAGTGTACGAGTCCAACACGGTTAACCGCAGAAGAAGAAAGCAGTAAGTGGGAAGAAGTAAGACCCTCCTAAACATGGTTATTTTAAGCCTCCTTCTGTTGATGCTCTGTTTGCTCTGTCTCTATAATCTAAGCCTGTTTTCAGCTATTTTTCTGCCTGTAAGGTTTTTGGATGAAAAAAGGAGGCTCTCTCTTGACGATCTAACCCCAGTAGAATGGTCTGGATTCGTTAAGTTTTCAAAATGGAAAGAGAACTTTTAATCGTTTGTCGAGTCTGAATCAAAGAATTATAAGATAAGGGTTGAAATATTTTGCAAATTTGAACTAAGTTGCAAGTTTTTTAGTAGTTCTGAGATTGCAGGATGTTTGATTGAAGGAATGGAAATTGATTGATGTGTTTGGTTGTAGCAATGTTAGCTATGCACTGGCTGTAGCAAGCTTGAACTAAGTTGCAAGTTTTTCAGTTCCACCTGATAACACTTCCATTACAGAGAGATGAAAATTGATTCTGGTAGAGTTCATTTAATAACTTTTCATTTATTTAATTGGTTTGGTTTTCTATTTTTTAGAAGTCATGTTTATTTACTATCTACTAGATTTTTAAATAAACAAATAAGCATAAATAGATATCATAAGATTCTAAAAGGGATCGTGCTATGAATTGAGTTCGAGTTTTGGAGCTGATAAACATTTGTTCAAAGCTCTGTTGTAATTTGCATAGATGGAACTATCATGAATTGATATAGTGGTCAATAAAGGTCGATATAAATAGTAAAGAGCTTAGAAAAAGTGAGTTTTAATTATCCTATGAAATTAATCGAGATGCGTGTGACCTATCAATGTTGGTAAAAATATTTGGATATCATTTAAAATATTATAAAAATAAAAAAATTATAAAATATATTTAAACTAACAAATAAATATTTCGTATTAGTATTTTGTTGATATTTTTTATATTCGGTAAGTGACCTTTTATGGATTGTTTATTTCGTCTCTTTCACCCCAAAGGTGTTGATTGGACATCTTAGGGATAAAATGTCAAGACAAATTCTAAATACTAGATACTCAATACTAGATACTCATGGGCGTAATTTGATACCCTAATCTAGATATCTTTTCATGGTTTGGTAGAAAATTTTACAATTTTTTTATCAAAGACTTTGAAGGATAGAAAATTTTACAATTTTTTTATCAAGACTTTGAAGGAGGGTAGAATTTTTAGTAAAAATATTAAAGGAAAAAAAAAGTAATACAAGAATCAATCCTCATTTTCTTTAATACAACATGGTGGGGGGAGAATTCGAATTCACAACTTTTTGGTTGGAAGTATATGTCAATTACCGGTTGGAGGTATATGCTAATTACCGCTAAGCTATGCACGCTTTCGTACAAGAATCATTCAGCAAGGATTAGATAAAGAATTGTTGTTGGTAAACAATTAATCATGCAGGGGGGGTTTATTATTAAATAAATACATGCTATCTTCTCTATATTCTTAAGTTGACAACAACATAGAACCTTTGGCTTTCAATTTGGATTCAAGATTGAAAAACTTCAAACCACATCTTACCAAGTCTGCTGTCTTCTTCTTCATGTGATCAATTAACAATTCCTCACACATTATGCAGTTAGCTTCTGTCAAATGCCTGCTCTCCTTCAGATGCAAAAACACTTTCTTTCCCCCATCAACTGTCCCATACTTGGACATTCCATATATTATTGCCGAGTATGTAACTGTGCTCGGAGGGCAATCTTCTTGAATCATCTCATTAAGAACACTGATCACCGTTTCCGCTTTACCTGATTTACATACATGGACAATTGTAAGGGCGTATTTGAACTCCAGAGGTCCGCTCTCGATGTTTGCTAGGCAGTCTCTAACAAGCATCAAGACTGCATCGATCTCGCAGGTTTTGAAGAGGCCTTCAGCGAGAGAACAATAGGCAGAAATGGAAGGAACTGAACCCAACTCGACTATTTCGTTATGAAATTCACAAGCCTCTTGGATTTTCCCGATTTCGACCAAGCACGAAACAACAATGGAGTAAGTTGATGAGTCTGGTTTGAAATTTGAGCTCTTCATGTCGTCGTAGATCTCTAATGCCTTCTTTGCCTGCCCATGCTGATGAAGAGCCCCGATAATGATGTTGTATACGGCGACACTGCCATAGCCCTTAACGTTCAAACCACGAAATACCTCTAGCGCCGTGCTTATTTTGTCCTCCTTTTCTACCATAAAAGAGAGAAATCTGGAAAGAACACCATCCACAGAAAGTTCCAACTTCTTCAACAAGGACAGTAACGTCCACAAGTCTTCCATTCTTTTCGACTTCACGTACATCGTCAAAATAGGCTTCACGGTTTCAAACTCTGGCTTAAGATCCTCTCGTATGGTTAGTTGAAAGAGTTTATAAGCCTTATCGACTTGATTTATGTTACAAAGACCTTTAATGAGAGAATTATACATCCCCAAATCAGCTCTATACCCTGAATCTACCAAATCCTTCCACAAATCACAAGCCAATCCAACTTTCTCATCCTGCACAAATGCATCAATCAAGGACCCATAAATGGTTCTTCCTATCAAAATCCTCTTCTCCTTCATCACTTGAAACAATTCATACCCTTTTCCCGCCTGCCCGGCTTTGCAAAGTCCAGTAATCAGAGTCTCATACGCCATAACATCAGGCTCTACTCCATCTGCTCTCATTTCATCCCAAACTCTTAAACATCCCTCCACATTCTCCTCAGAAACCAACACCTTCACCATTGCTGTATAAGCAAACACATCCGGCTTACACAAATTTGCCCTCATCCGAGCCAAAAGCTCCAGCATTTCCTCAACCCTCCCTGCCTTGCACAACCCCTTAATCAAAATCATAAATGTGATGCTTTCTTCCACTAACCCATGTTCCTGGAAATCCCCATAAACAGATAAAGCTAAATCTAAATGACCTGTTTTGACTAAGGCATCAAGAATCCTATTATACAAGAAAACCCGGGGAATAACCCCAAATTTCTTCATCTTTTCATATACATAGTAAACTCTAAGACCCCTATTGCCATCAGAATGCATCCTAATCAGAATCTCAAACTGTTTCTCACTTGGAGGCTTACCTTGTGAATCCATGAGCTCGGGAATTTGATCAGCAGCCCTGAAGCGATTGTGGCGATTCAAGCAATAAGCAAAAGCATTATAGGAAGCGTAATTGTGATGAAATCCCTTTTGCTTCCCTGCCCAGTGGAAGAACATGGACGCTAAAATTGGATTAGAATCACGGCGATGAAAAGCCTTGAGAACCTCGGCCACAAGGTCCGGAGTAACACGGCGGAGCTTGTTGAGTTCAGAGATTACTGATGAACCCCACTTGTTTTGGTTCTTACGGAAGGCGTCGAGGATGAAGCGAGCAATGGGGGAGAGGCGGACAGAGCTGGAGAAGAAGGCCTCCGAAGCCGGCGGCGGCGGCGGCGGCGTTAGCTTGGAGAGCGCAGAGGAGGGATCAGGATCCCACTTGTGAAGATCGAAGGGTTGGGATTTAGGGGAAATGGGTTTGTGGGGGCTGGGTGGAGAGAGGGATTGGCGATTGGAGAAGAGGCCGCCATAGACGGTGGGGCGGTGCTGCTTGGGATTGCGGTGGCGGTGGCCGTAGTAGAAGTATGATTTGTGGGGTTTTGTGGGGATTTGAGGGGGCATTTGAGGGATGTGGATGCAGAAATCGCATAATTCATCCACAGTTCTCAAGAAATCTGCTCACTGCTCCTCAGGTTGAGAATCGGCAGCTCCAGTATTCTCAAGTGTCAACCCGAGAGAAGAAGGAAGAAGACGATGAGGTAAAAAATGCAATCTGAAATGCCAATGTGCAATCAATCTGAACCCTACTGGGAGGAATTAGAGCTGCATCTCTAATTTCTAACCCTAATCAACTTAGTTTTGATTTTGATTCCGTTATCATAATTTTAAATCTTTCAGGTTTACTCATCATTTGTGTTTAATTTCAATTCAACCTCCAAAATACCTACATCTTCTCTCTCTTTATATATAATTTCTTTTTCGTTTAAATACAATTTTGGTCTTAGATCTTTAGGTTGAAATGTAACCCTAAATTTATATTAAATAACTGGTATAATATTTAACAAATAAGAATTAAAACGTGTCAACTTTAACAAAGATCAATTGAGCCTATCTTCACATGCTATTGTATTAAAAAAAATCAAAACAACAAAAGTATAAAGATCAAAACAATCGTTTGCAAACATATCTCAATAGACTTCAATACTCATCTTTTCTAAGATACTAAAAATAATTTGGATAACTTCTAATAACACAATTAATGGTAATTTTATTTTTGGCCTTTTTTTTTTCAAAATTAAGTTTTTATGTTAGCCAAATTTGAAAACTATAGGATTTTTTTTAGAAACAGGACTATAATTTCAAAACAAATTTGAGAGTAAAATATAAAAATATAGTCATAATTTTTAAAGAACAAGAAGACGTAGTGATTCAATTCTGAAAAATAATTTAACCTTGTTTTTTACAACACATTTTCAGAGATAAGCGCTTTAACCAATTGAGTTTTAACAAAAAAGATACCAATTATCATTGAATTATGTTCATATTAGCGAAAAATTATTTAACTTGGAAGAATATACAACAATATTGTTAATTTTTTTTTTCTTTTACTAATGTTATTACGAAGAAAAATTTACATACAATAATAATACATGGAAGCATTCTTTGAGCCATTTCTCTACCGTCTGATTGTGGCACCTTCGAAAGCTCTGCCATTATTTACACCTCAGCTTCCCTTTTAGGGCGGTTGCGAGTTCGTGGAAGAGCAGGTTTTGGTTCGAAGGATATTTCTGAATTATCATCTTTGTTCTCCTCATCTGCTTCCATAATGGCTTCATTCAGAGTAACCTGGTTCACCAACAAATACAAACTCAAGAGTCGTTTTTCAATTACAGGAATCAATTTGCCTCAAAAACAGACCACCATACATAAAATGAACCAAGTTTTCATCCCTTTCATCACAAGCAAGAATGTCAGTGAAGTGTCATGATCAAACTCATCCAAGAGCTTCTGCATATGGTTTTTGCCATCTTCCTATTTTAATGAATTGAAAATTTTATTCTTTAGTCTCAAAGGGTGACCATGGTGGTAACAACTTGAATATTTGGAGTTACCTTCCAAAGTTCTAGGTTCAAGTCTCAGGTAGGAAACACAGTAATTTAAAATTCTTGTGTCTCGGAGCTGGGGTTTCGGGTAGGCGAAGCCTCTCGCTGATGGGCCATGAGAGCATATAATGCAAGGAATGAGGCCCTCAATAACCCGATTATCCAAGTGACCAATCATCTAATCAAATGGCCATGAACCTACAAAAGCTTTTGAGCACCAATACACATAGAGGGCAACTTCTGGGGGGATTATTGTACCATTGACACTAAAACTTACGACTCTACAGCAATGTATTAATGGGATGAGAAGTATTTCTTTTCTTTCTTCCAATAAGTACGAATATGAAAAGATAGGAAGAAGAAATGAGTAAGTGTTTAACAAATTGGTTTTGTTAAGAACAATGGTACCCAAGTATCTCTATGATGGCATGATATTATCCATTTTGGGCATAGCTTTGGTTTTGGTTTCACCTAAAACACCTATTCCAATGAAGATGTTGTCCCTTGTATATATACCCACGATCTTTTGCTTTCCTAGCCAACGACTTTGTTTGCATTCCTTATAAACCTAACCGCTCTTATCTTATTTTTAAGTGCAAGAGTTTAGTTTTCTTCTACCTGTTTTTTTTTTTTTTTTCCTTTTCATCCCACTAACTTAAGAGAGTACAACATTTACTTGACGAAGTTTCATCTTACCATTTCCCCTTTCTCTTCGTATAAGAATAAGTTAGAGCAGTTTTAGTTTTAACATTAACACTAGTTAGGAGACTAATTCTAAACATGAAGGCTAATTCAACCTTAAACACGGTAAAACATTTAATCAAACAGGTTATCTGCACCACCCACAAAGCCTCAATACGACATCAACCCTTATTTCACAGTAAACCAGTCTTATCTAAACCAAAATTGAACTACAAAAGTAAGGAAAAAGAAACAGCAACTAACAACCAGAATCACCAACAAAATTCAGTTCAGTCCCACGAACAAAAACGGATCAAAATTAGAAATAAGAGTACCTCCTCGAGAAATTTCTTGTCGAGGTTATCGCCGATTTTAAGAGCGGTGAGAACAGTGATGAGAATGAGAGAGAAGGGGATGGAGAAGGCGAAGATGTAGCTGCTGGTGCTGGCGCCGGCACGAGTGGTCAGCAGTCGCAGGCGCAGGGGTCTGGGGTCGCAGGAGAATCTGAGCGCCGGCGAGGGAGTGGAGGGTCTGAAGAACAACCGCGGAGGAGCGACGGGGAGAGGGGGAATGGGAAAGGTTCGGATTTGGAATGAGATAAGGAGCCTGGCGCTCGCCATAGCGCTTGAGAAGGGAATGGACATGGTGGAAGGCTGAAGTTGTATCGTCCATCGCGTAGTATTGGATCGGCATAGCCCTATGAGACCCTCTTTACCCACATCCAATTGAATCTAAGCGGCCCAACCCAAGGATAAGATTAAAGTCAGTCGAAAATATATGCTTTAATCAATTAAATTATAATCACGTTGACAAACCTTAGAAAAGTCGATAACTATGTTCTTGTCAAACAATAATTAGATACTTAGCAATTAGTGGTGCTGACCACAGAGAAAAATTTTACAGTTTTTTTTTAAATAGAAAAAATATATCTCTTTATTCATTTCTTTCAACTAATTATCAAAAAATTTAACGGTGGTTAGTAAATAATAAGCACTGATCCACAGTCACCTAAGTATATGCATATATATAATTGCCTTACATTGTTTTCACTCAACTTTATCACAAAACTAAATTAGGATCTAGGGGAAATTTGGAAAAAATTTGATACTATGAGAGTACTATATTCCTTTGCTTTCACTACTTGATATGTTAGCACTGTATTAAAAATGATGTGAGGTCCATTTCTTTTATTTATTGTGTAAGAAGGGAGTATGGTACTCCCATAGAAAATATCTCAGAGACAATGAAGTATCAGATAGGTAAATAAAAGATGAGATTTTGAATTAGAGACAAATTTACTTCACCATACTTTCCATTCATACGATATTTCAAAATTTACTGGTTTACACATCTTTAGTGCCATGGATTGTTTTTTTTTTTTTTCCTAGAATACTGATGTAACCAATTCTTTGAACTAGAATATTAACTAGAATTTTTAAATGGAAATTCAATCAAAGATATGATCAGTTTGACGAATATATGTTAAAAAAAATGTATAATATTCCAACAAGAAGAGGAATTTTTACCATTTCAAACTATGAGGGTGTGTTGTGCAATTATCCACAAAAGGAATAGTTCAACTTTCTTTGTTACCAAAAAGTTGATGGAACCATTCAAAGTTGGCTACAACTTTTTCTTCAAACTTGACTTCAAGTCTTTGCTAGTGGATGGTTGAGTTTGGCAACTTTTTGCTCACATGCCCTCAAAAGTTAGACTTATTATATATACCAAAGTGTTAAGAAAGAGACTAAATTAAAACATTGTTTGGTTTAGGACCACTTTGCTTTCCAAAAAATGGTCCAAATCCTTGGCTTAAATATGAAGAATGAATGAATGAAGGCTTCCATTGGGGAGAGTTTCAAATTTGAATTGTTTCAGGCCGCTCCTCCACTATGGATAATGACCATCGTCGGTTGACCGCCTGCGGCTGCGGATTCCACAAGCCTAATTTTAATTGCTTTCCACGCCTTCTCTTTAAATTTATTTATCAAAGGGTGCCATCGTACTAATGCACCATCTCTACAGTTAAGCGTGTTTGGATTAAAGTAATACTAAGTTGGATGATCACTTAGAAAGTCGTCTTGCACTTCTTTTAAGAGTCAACATGAGCATAGTTTATTGGTAATTGACACGCACTCATTACCTTAAGGTCGAATGTTTGATCCCCATATCTCTTAATTGTTGTACTAAAAAAATATTAAAAAACGTTAAAAGACACAAAATTTGTCCAGACAAATTTAGTCTCTCAACTTTAGTTTGTAAAGATTTAGTCCCTATTATGAAAAATCTCATTAAGCATAGATTTTTATCGTATAATGATTCAATTTGTAATTCATATAGTCATCAATTTATCAATCTACATGTATAAGAAACCTTATTAAATCTAAACAAAATTTTCACCAGACTAAATTGTTGTGAATAGTATAGTGACTAAATTGTTATAAATTAAAGTTTAGGGACTAAATCGTTACTTCAATGAATTTAGAGATACCAAATGTGTTTTTTTTTTTTAACATTTCAATGATTTAACTTGGTACTCCTTATAATATTCTATTTTAATCTTCAAACATTATATTCATGGTCAAAATCTTCTAATATGTTAGACATGGAACAATGTACAAGTAAAGATGCAAATCTTTGACCAGGTTATTGATGCCTTGATTACCAAACTATGATCGAATTGACAATAAAAGTACTATGTTAGTGTGTCTTGATTTTTTTCCTTCTATAGCTCAATTACATGCGGTGGTAGAAAGAAATTTGAACTTCTGACCTTTTGACCGTAGATATATATCATAACCAGTTAGCTATATTAAGGTTGACATATACATTTTATCTCGTTGATCTTTCTCTTACTACATAAATTCTCTCGCTCAAATTTTAAAATTCTTTTTTATTATTCCAAAAGTCATATCAAATCTACATTTTCCAAAGTATTCAGGTCAATTTGAATATAACTCAATTAGTTAAGGCACTATCTTCGATGAAAATAACGTGAGTTCGAATCTCCGTCCTGACATATTGTATTAAAAAAATCAAAACATTCCTAGAATTTGTTCATTAGTCAAATCCAATGACAAGTCTAATTGTTGTAACATCAAGTTCTCATATCTCCTCGCTCCTACTAGGCTACTACTACCTTTTTATATTAAAAAAAAAGTACTAACCAAATACCATAAAATATTTGTGAGACACACAATGTCACATGTAAGGAAAGATTCTTCAAGGCATTGATTGCTCTAATAACATGCAATCTTGTATTCTCTTTATCACCCTACCAAAAGAAATATTCTCCCATCTACATTTTTGGTAAGACACAAAAAAAAAGGTTAAAATACGACCTTTTGGTCGGAAATATGTACATTGACTCATTGAGCTATGCTAAGGTTGACATCAAATTATCAATTTGATTTTTATGATTTGAGTTCAATTTTAATTTAATTTCTATAGCTTTAAAAGTGTCAAATGGACCCTATAACTAGGGTTTGGTTTCAATTTTGTCCCTATAATTTTATAAATTTTAATTTGATTCATACAATATAGTTAACCTCACAAACCATTATCATATAAAATATGTGGCATGATATATGTCTATGTATGAGCCAACATTTTCTATTTAGGCGAGAAAAAAAAAAGAAAAGAAAATATGTAGGTTTTTTTTTGGCGAGAGAGGCGATTTTCAAAGTTCAATCAAACCACAGTGACCAAATTAAAAATTAGTAAAATCATAAAAGCCAAATTGAAGTTAACTCCAAAACACACAACAAAATCCCTACCAACAAGGTGTCATATTTTTATTTATGGTCGGAACGAAGATGAGTGCTGACATGACATATACGGTTTAGCACCTAAAATGTTGTTCATGGTAAAAAGTGGGATGCTAGAAGGATTTGTTGGCAAAAAAGCTTAAACTTTTTAGTTATTGATTTGAGTTGGTAGGGATTTGAGGCATTGTTTGATGAATTTCATTCTTGCTTCATATTTGGTGGGGTAACCATGTCCCCTATTGAAGCAAGCTTGACATGTTCCTTCTTCTTTATCTAATCATATAGATTTTCCATTAAATGTTTTTTTTTTCAAAAAATTCAGTCAAAACAAAAGAAAAAATATGCAATATAATAGTTAGATCAACACCAAGAACAAACTGTTTCATTCATTGAATCCCCCTCTCAACTCTATTCTCTATAATTACAACTTGTAACAAATGTAAAGAATACAACAGAAGAAAGAAAAAGGTACACACAATTTACCACAAACTTCTATCAAGCACACCCAAATGAGTTCTATGAGAAGTAAAAAAGTAAAGTAAGAAAGAAAAAAAACTCTTTTTATTTTTTTTAGTTTCTGCCAAAAATAAATTTTGAATTTGAATAAGTAGTGAAATTAATACTTTATTCGTTTGAAAATGTTAAAATAAAATCAATAAATCATCTCAAATGCAACTAACAAAATATTTTAAATTCTAAAAAAAAAAGGAGTATTAATTTCATTTTCACTACTCTATTCGCGTTCGAAACTCAATTCAGACTTAAAACTAAAACTTTAAGGTTAAAATTTTTATCCAACTAAATATACAATTCAAAAAAAATGATTTTTTTTCAAAAAAGAAAAAACAATTTGACCCACAATAAAAAAAAAAAAGAAAAAGAGACCAATTATGCTTTTGCCTATTCTCTCCCATTCTTCACATCTATGAAAAGAAAAAAAGTTTCAGAAGCAATGCAGGCTTGAACAAAAACAACCAACCAGAGCTTCATACAAAGGGTTGCAAAACGAAACTGAGCCGAACCGAACCGATTGATTTCACGGAGTTGACTCAACAGGAGATGATAGCTTTCTCAGAATCCTCTGCAACAGAAGCAGCAGCTCCTCCCATGGCAGAAGAAGAAGAAGAAGAACCTTTAGGAACCCACCAAACTCTCAAACTTCTATCAAGGCTTCCACTGTACAACAAGAAGCCTCCTCCCACACCATTAGAAGCTGCCTGTAAGCATCTGATTGGTCCTTCATGCCCATTTATCACCCACAGGTTACACAGCCTCCCAAAGGCCTCTCTTCTCCATATCCCAATGCTCTTATCAGCTGACCCACTACACAGAAACTCCCCCATCAAACATATACACAAAACTGCCATTTTATGAGCCCTCTTCTCACAAATCACCTTCCATCTCACTGATTCCCCAATTTTTTCCCACCCCATTATGAACCCATCTGAATTTCCCCCATATACCCACTTCCCATCTTCAGAAACCACCACTGAATTTACAGATACATCCTTGTGCCCCTCCAAAATCCCCAACAAAGAATGTGAATACCCTCTTCCTTCTTCTTCTTCTTTTTTTTCTTCTTTTCTTCTTCCCCATGCTTTGATTTTCCCATCTGCAGAAGCAGAGTACACAACCCCTTTACAGGCTACAACCCCATTAATGGCATCATCATGGGCTTTGATGGATTCTAAGCATTTCAGATCGGAAACCCTCCAAACTTTTAGGGTTTTGTCCCAAGAGCCGGAGTAAATGAGCCCATTATGGACTGCCAAGCAAGAAATGGTGTCGGCGTGTTCAATCCAGAGGATTTTGTGGTGCCTCCTCGTTTGGACGTAATTGCTCTGTTTCATGAATTTGCCCAAATAGTCCTTGGTCGTCGGAAGCGAGTTTGTGAGGCGGAAAATGTTCTCCGACCGCCGTGAAACCTTCCACACTCTAATTTTGCCGTCCTGGTGGGCCGTGAAAACTCGGCTCCCGACGGCGACCACCGCCTTCACCGAGCCCTCACCGTGCCCGAATCGGGTGAAAACCCTCAAATCCGGCTGCTGCCACACGATTATGTCCTTCCCCTGCGACGCGCTGAGGATGAACTCGCCACACAGGGCCAAGCAAGAAACAGACCCAATGTGGCCGGAGAGAACCGCCAGCGGCCGGTACGAGTGAAACCCAGATGGGGATTTGCAGAGATAATCGTACGATTTTAACCTGAGGTCCTCGAAATCGAATCTACAAGAGATCGCTGGACTCTGCGCCTCGGCGTCGCTGCTGCTGCTGCTGCTGTYGGAGCTTGAAGAGTGCAGCAATGGCGTCGCCGCTTCAGATACAACGCGATCCATTCTAGAGAGAGGTAGGGGAGCGGAGAAGTGAAGAAAAAAGGGGAATCTGGTGATGGAAAACGAAGAATGGGAGTTTTTTTTTTTTAATTGGGGGAAAAAAGAATGAGAAGTCGGTGTAACGGATACTTTGGGTTTGGCTATGAATATTGGGTTGTTCATAGAAAGAGAATGATCGGTGGGGTCCTTTTTGAACTTTTTCTTTCTTCTTTTCTATGGACGTTATGGTTATTAAAATGTTTAATTTATTTGATGGCGTTGGAATTGGGGAATGAAGTTTATTTATTTATTTAATTATTATTATTATTATTTTAGTGTTTTGATCACCAATTGGACCTTGGCACCAAGGTTCTCATATTTGTCTTCACAAGTAATTCTATGTTCTAAATTTGATATGTGTGAAAAGATCACTCATCCTAAAGAGGTTCAAGTTCAAGCATAAGAAAAAACAAAAAACTCAAAATGAGGATGAAAGTTCAAAATCCCCACCTAATTTGACACTTCGTCTCGTCATGATTTGGACATATGATTGATACAAATTTGAAAATTGAAGAACTAATTAGACGTTTTTTAAAGTTTAAAGACATGTTAGATAAATCATAAAAGTTTAGGTACTAAACAAATATAGTGTTTATACAAGATTTAGTTTAAGAGAGGTAATTTAGGTAGTGGGATATTGTGGAAACTTAATTTTAATGCTGATATTGATATGATGTACTTGGTAATTGTTACCATTGGTTTTATTTGGAGCATCTATGTACAAATATATGAGTTGAAATATCATGTGCAATGTTATGGTATAAAATTGGACAATGATATGTTTGTGTTTTTCTTGTACGGGAAGATAGTACATCACTAGAATTACTCTTTACAATTTCATCTCAATCTTAAGTGAGCAGGGAACTTGAGAATTTGAAAGTTTTAGATAAAAATCTATTTGATGATTAGGCTCCCTTGTCTACCAACAATTCCCACTTAGAGACTAATGATCTCTCTCGTTGTAATTTGTAGCAATTAATCTAATTGCGATAATTAACCTCTCCAAGTTTTCTCCGACAAATTTAACTAATTTGAAAATCCATGTTAAACTTTGTAACAATCACAAGTCATCGGCAAGGATGGTCTTGGGCAAAAGATGGTGAGGAGAAAATAAGTTCGAACACAGGATTTCCTACTCTAATGCTATGTTAAACATGATTAATTATCAATAAATCAAAAAGTTTAAGGTGATAAGTTAAAATAAATTTAATCATTTATAAGATATCTAACCTTTTAATGTTGTATCGAGACTATGGACGGTTCGCAATGGTTCTTCAAGGGAATGACAAAAAAAAGCTTGAATGGGAATTTTAGACCTACCAAGTATATAGATCATATTTCCATACTTATTTAATGTTTTTGTTTTCATGCTAATAAATTCAACTTTTAAATAGTATTTGAATTTGAATGTTACATCGTGTTCCTTTAAAAAAAAATAATTAATAATCAGCTATTTTTTTTTTAATACAACATGTTGGGGAGAGGATTCAAACTCACAACCACTTGGTTGGAGGTATATGCCAATTACCGCTGAGCTATGCTCGCTTTGGCTAATAATCAGCTAATTAATGAAAGATTTAATTTCAAACCTATGAATTTCCTCTTAGATTAAGAATATTTACCTTGTTTTAAGCTGATGGATATTTGCCCAAAACACCTGTCTTAGAATTGCATGAGAAAATGATTTTGTATTAGGTGCAATTTCATGTAAATAATATACTAGAATATTCCTAAAATGTCATATTTGCAATATCAGATACTTTTTGGCCATCTATCAAAATTTATATTTTAATTTGGTCATCGATGTTCATATATACCTCAATTTTAAATTTATATGAATAGTAAATTATAAAAAATTCCTCTAAACTTTGCCACTTGTTTTAAAAATACACCTATCATTTCAAATCATGTTGATATTATCCCTAATTTTTTCATAAACGTTTCAAAATACTCTGAGTAAATATCGATTACTATTTTGAACGGAAAACGTGGTAAAATCTAGAACGACGTGACAATTAACAATATTTCATTCTCAATTTTGAAGTATTCTTCTATTTTCTAAAAAAAAAAAAAGTTTTATTCCTCTATTGTCAAAAGAGTTTGTTTATCCAATGTTGCCCTAATCCTCAATTTAAAAACGATAAAAATTGTCACATCGTTTTAATGGTGTGCCAAAATCACTTTTACCATTTTCAAAATCACTCCACCCATTGATCATGTTCGGTAAATTAGAAAACTGATTTTAGTAAAACTTAAAATCACTTTAGAAGGAGATTTTAGAAAATCAATTATGCTTAATTTTTCTTTTCAAAATTACTTATTCTACTTTTACTTCCAAACACATCTTAAATACGTTAACCTTCCATTCCGAATATTAACTAATGTTTGTTCAAAGAGTATTTTTGAAACATTGTGAAAGTTCAAGAGTATATTAAAATAGTCTTGGTAATAGGACAAATATTATTTTTTTCAAAAGATATGTGAAAGTTCATGAGTATTTACCCCAAATTGCAGGGTGGGTAGGCGATAGGAGTGTTCACGGGTTGAGTTGGATCGGGTTAGGAGGGATTTTGGGATTGATCCGAATTTTCGGATTCACCATATATAGGAACCGTCATGTTTGAATTGGATGGTCAAYGCAACCCAACCCAATATTTTTTGGGTTGGGATGTCGGTTTGTTTTTTTTTAATTTTTAATTTTTAATTATCACAGCGGTGATGAGGAATTAGAATTAAAAATTAACGGATGATTGACATTGAGATACAAAATGAAAGAAGATAATATGAAAATCTTAGATGAAAGACTATCATTAACACGGTTGACATTGAAGATAAAGATATTATCATATATATAATTAAGAAAAATACACATATATGCATAAATTCAGGTTTAGGTTGGGTTGACCTCGAGACCTAACCCAGAAAATCACAATCCAATCTAATCCGAGGTTTCATCTAACCAAACACAACCCAACTCTTACTGTTTGGATAAGTTTTTTTGAACTAGGGGTGGCGTTCCTCTCATTAATGGAAGGGCTTTAATGAGGACAGGATAGGGAATGAAGAAAATTTGTGGAAATAATGACTAAATATCCAAAAATGAGCGTGACCAGTGGCCACACGTAGCGTACCACTGGTAAATTTCATTTTCTTCATCAGAGAATACTCTTCGATCCAAATGGCGGCGCTATCTACGGTGGTCGGAGCGCAGCCGGCGATCAAAATCGTCGCTCTCTGCGGTTCTCTCCGCCAAAATTCTTACAACAGAGGCCTCATTCGTGCTGGTAACTATCCAATCTCTCTCCTCATTTTTCCTTTTTCCTCTGTTTCTCGCTTCTTCGCCCGCTAGGGCTCTGATTCCGCCGTCGCGCGGTGGTTTTAGCGGCGGAGATTGCGGAGGAGTCGATCAAGGGCTTGGAAATCGAGTATGTAGACATCTCGCCCTTGCCGATGCTCAACACCGATTTGGAGATCGACGGAACATTCCCGCCGGCCGTCGAGGCTTTTCGCCGGAAGATTCTGGAAGCTGATAGCATCCTCTTTGCTTCGCCGGAATATAATTACTCCGTCACCGGTATATTCCTCTTCACCTTTACTATTTACAATTTACATCCATCCTGATGAAAAATTATTAATGGTACAAAATACAAATTTCGATTAATTGATTTTGCTTTTCAACATTTAAACCGTGAGAATCAAATTTGAACGTTTCTTTTTTTCTTTTTCTGTTTCTTTTCGAATATTGTAAACCTAATCTTGTTTTAATAAAAAGCTACATTTATCAATTTTATTTTAGATATTAGATTCTCTTTTAAAATTTTAAAAGTAATTTTTAATATTTACTCGATCAAGTTTTTTAAAAATTATAAATCATTAAAAGGAAAATAATTAACATTGCAAGAAAATTTAACAACAAAGTGAGAGAAATTGTGTGCATAGAGATAGGACTAGTAAGAAAAAGTGTGTGAATGAGAGAGATTTGTATAACTACTGGGAAAAAAAAATTAGAGGGAGAACTTATGAGAATGAATTCGAATTCCTAATACACGTACTGAAAAAGAAATTGTTTTAAAATGTATCATTGGAATAGTCCACCAACAAGAGGGCATTCAACCTCGAAAAAAAGTAGCAAATGGTCAAAATAATAATGTTAGCTCTTCAATTATCTTTGAAACTCTCTCATGCATGCCAATAAAATTCGTTTAACCAATATTTTGTGTGAAGAAATGATTATTTAAAAAGAGCATGAAATTCGCTCCTTGCTACTTTGATTCAAAAAATTCCCTGACACTCTCGACTTTCTCTAGTTTTCGCAACCGTAATCATTTATTACTCTAATTACTAGTACTTTTTTCATAATTAACTATCGTGGTTTGGTCTATTGATCCAAAGGGGCTAAGGTAAATTTTAAGGAAAAAAAAGTAGGAAATGTGTCCAAATCATGGTGCCCACCTTACCTATATGATTAATATTCTATGAATTTTTGCAGGGTATGTAGAGCGGTGAGATTAGTTCGTAAACTGATCCGAACACTCATGAATATTAAAAAAAAAAAAAACTTTTATCAGAGTTAGGATGAGTTTAAGAATGTTTTAGAGGGACGTGAGTTTATTGAAAGTCATTAGAGTTGAATAATACAAATACAAAAGTACTCATTCCTAGAGAGGCTTTGAATTAGGGGTGGTTCTTTTAGTATAATTTTAATTTGGGTTGTTGTTGATCTTGTTGGTGATGGTTTTATCAGCGCCATTAAAGAATGCTCTCGACTGGGGATCAAGGCCACCAAACGTGTGGGGCGACAAAGCAGCAGCAGTGGTGAGTGCAAGTGGTGGCTCCAGTGGAGTACGATCACAGTACCATCTTCGCCAAATCGGAGTTTTTCTCGACCTTCATTTCATAAACAAGCCCGAGTTTTTCTTGAATGCATTCCAGCCCCCGCCCAAGTTTGACGCCAACGGCGACTTGATCGATGCCCAGATCAGGGACAAGTTGAAGGCTCTTCTCTTGTCCTTGCAAGCATTTGCCTCGAGACTCCGACCAACCCGTATAAATTGAACCATATGCCTCAATAAGTATATATGTTATTGTGTCATGTGTGTGTAATATAGAGCATTCTTGCATATGGGGATATATGACTTTTTAGCTAAGTTTCTTTTGCTCTTCTAGATCCTCAAGAAGGAAATCTTGGAGGGATATGAAACTCCATAAGCTCTACAATTGGACTAAAAGAATTCAGAGAATACTAAAGCCCAAGTTTGGCCCAGAAGGGCAATAGATTCTCCATGATGTTGTGACATTAAGCTCTCAATCTCTTTCATTTCCACTTTGAACTTGTACTTTTAGATTATTCTTGAAACTTTTCTGGATTTTTCTTTGATTAGATATAGAAGGTTGAATGAACAACCATGTCAAAAAGAATACATTTGTTTTATATATGTTTTAATACTACTATTAACTTGAGCATAAGCATAATTTTACCAGTTAAGACATATATCATTCGTCAAACGATTGAGTGTTTTTTTCTTTTTTCTTGAATACAATATTTAGGGATGATGATTTTCGAATTCACGAAATTTTAATCGTACCTTAATTAAATTGGTTAATATGTTGTTATTTGTAATTTAAACATGTTTTAATTTAATACCAGAGATCTTTTTATCAACATAATTCACCACTATCAAGTAAACAATATAGCCTTAATCAGTGCTCACTATAAAATTAAAAAAAAAACACACTAAACAATATTTGTTATTGGTGTTGGGTTCAAATTTCACCTATTATTTGAATTGTATTCCTCTAGGAAAATTGATTACTATTTGTATGCTTTAATATGATGGTAATTAATATAGCCTACATCACTATAACAATAGATTTTATTATTAGTCAACTCGAACCTAATAGATAAGATACACCTATTACCATTTTAAAGATCAATAGTTTAATCTCTTACTCTGCAACGGTCAAATTAAAAAATATATATATAATTACAATAACTTTAAAGTGTTTGGGATTGATATACATTTTCTTATGAGAAATGATTTTATTTTTGTTATTACAATTATTATTAGAATGAGGTTTTGACGTTAATAGTCATATTTAAGCATGCTTACAAATATAGCAAAATGTTTATAGTTAATTGTAAATATAGTAGAAAACGAAGGTTTAGCCCAAACGAAAATATTTGAAAGTAAGTTATACTTTTAAAATGGATAGTTTTTCTAAAGAATGAGAAAAATTCTCGCGTTAAGTATATCATRTCAGTGATATACTTCAGATTAGGTATATCRGTGATATACATATATCAGTGATATACATGAAATGAAAGTATATTATTTTACCMTATTCTTTGCTACTCTAATATCTTAAAGCATGTTTATAATTAATTTGCAAATCTASGTCTTTAAATTTGTAGCTTTTAACTTGACATTCTTGTTCATATCTGTAAACTATTTTGTGAGAATATCAACATACTTGTTGCGTATTATGATGTTGGGAAGAAAATTTTTTCTAATTGCCACTTTAATCCATCAAATCAATTGTCTTCTGTCATTAGCTTCTAAGTGTGGTCTTACACACTTGTCTTTTAATACTAATTCTTTCCATTAATCAAAAGAGATATAGATGCTAATTCACATGCTTACATATATAAAACTTGATAATAATAACAATGTCAAATTGTGTCTACCTAATTGAAATAACTTAATATACTTTTGAATTCTTATACCAAATAATACATAGTTAAAAAAAAAAATGGTAAGTGTTGATGCGTGGATTGCAATCTTCCGGTTCTCCTTTCGTCACACACCAATTCGATGGTGAAGGGAGCGGACACCTGCAAAACAAACCCAATCCAAACTAGTGCGACATTTGTCACACGAGCTCCGATGCTTAAGTCARTAAGGAGAGTAGAGAAATAGTTATTTTCTAGTATGGAGACTGCCTTACCTTATGGTTAGGCAACACAACTATTTATAATTGTTGGAAGGATCCCATCAGTACCTTCTGATCGAGTCCTAATTTTATATTGTCGAGGCCCAACGATTGTTAATCGATAGGAAAGGGTCGATATTGGGCTCAGCCCCGAACAAGGGGTGTTTAACCTCTAGCAATTAGATCTGAGCGAAGGAAACCGCATCATACCTTGGCCCAAAGGCCAAGGCGAGAGGCTGGCGCCGTGATGGTCTCGACGTCGGGTTGTCGCTTGGCGTGGGTCGGTCCTTTACGTTATGGGCCGATTCCCCCTCAGTCGATGACCTCGGACTTATTCTCTCTTGTCTCGTTTTGGRTCGTTTTTACTCTCTATAACAGTAAGGATGGGAGGAGCTCCTACTTGCTCTTTTAATAGTGATTATTTTTTAGGAAAAAAATATTAATAAGAACCAAAGCTCCTACTTGCGCTTTGTTTCTATTTCCTCTTTTTTAATAAAGAAAAATATAATTATAAGATTCCAATAAATGGAAACATGAAACTTGATTTGATTGAGTTGTTTTCAAAATTTTTATAAAATTTTGAGAATGTTTCTAAAAAAAAGAGAAACAAAAAACACAAATAGTTGTCAAATGCTTTAAGTTACTTAATAAAACTGAAAACGAGAAACAAAAAGCGAAAATGTTATCAAATGCGACTTAATTATATATTTTAGTCCTCAAGTTCTTGCTTTCACCCTACGTGATTGACGAAAACATAAAAATTAATATCTCAAAATTCATGTATCGTCATTTTTAACATTATGTTATCGCAACGACTTACTTGAAAAAAATTCAATACATAAAAGGACGATTTGAAACCTTTAAACACCTAAAAATACCTAATGACCAAAGCATATATTTAGCTTTTATTACATATAATATATAAACAATCTGATAGAGAGCAAGCTGTACTCTGAAAATATTAAACATAGAATGTGCAATGTTTGTGTATGTTTTTTAACTTTTTATATTGGCTTTTCTATATATGTAATTTTTACCATTTTTGTTATAATATTTTTGTAATTTTCTCAAAACAACTATTGAAAAAAAGAGACTTAATTGAGTGGATCTATATTTTCACACCTCCTCACCATATCTATAATTTATAGGAGACTTTCATTTAAATTGAGTTGAAAAAATTTACTAAGTAATTTCAAAAATTTGTAAATCAATTAAATTATTATTTTAATACATCATAATTTCTCCTCTACGAATTTCAATGTAATAAAATTACTACATAGCTTCATTTAGTGGCGGATCTAAAATACAAATTCGTATAAAAATAAATTTAAATACATTGATATATTTTTTAATATTAGTCTAATTTTTCTATATAAATATAGAAGAAAGAAATTGAAAATTGAAATACTAAGTATATATCTTTTTATAATAATCATAGTTCATTTTTATGGGATCAATTTTTCAGAGAATAGTTTATTAAAATTTTAAAAATGTTTTTCTTCCTTTTTAGTTATATTTGATATCAAGATAAAAAAAAATTGAAGAAGTTAAAACAAAAACAATATTTTTAAAAGATAAAAAATAAATAACTTCTTATTTATGGATACTTTATTTATACAATATTTTAAAGAAAATATGATTGACAATCTGAAATTATAAAATATAAAAGATTAAATTATTTACTTACATAAAAAGTTTATATATGTATTATTTATTTATTTTTAGTAAGTTTGGACTATATTGGCAAGATCCAACGATAAACAGCAGCGCAAAAGCTGAGTAGTCAGCGGCTGCTATATATTTTTATTTTTATAAATTTTTATAATTGTATGTAGTAAATTTTAACCAANGCTTTGGTGTGTGCTCCACCGAACCAAAGTGAAATTTTATTAATATGTATAAATTAGTTGGATATTAAGAAAAAGGTCCTAATAATACACGTCATCCATATTTACTAATCTTAATTATATGAATTAGATTTTAATTTGATTTATTTTATTAATTTTTTTTAATTGGCAAAAGAATGGAATCCTTATATGCACTTAACAAAATCCAATCACATGACATAAAGATATTACCAAAAGAAGAAAATAAAGATTAAAAAAGGTTTACCAAATCCATCAAAATGCAATGAGGTCATGGCTTGTTGGTATATTTTATTAATTGTGTGTTTGAAAAAAGTTAAAAATTTTGTTTAAAAAAAGTTAAAAATTAAAAAAAAAATTCATATTTTCTTTTTGTCTTCATTGTGGATTTAGCTAAGCTTGTGATACATAAAAACTTCCACTTGCCCAAATCTGATTTTGAACACAGCTAGTAATGACTCATTAGTTTTAACTTTTTAATCAAAAGATCTTAACATCAACAAAACCTCCAAGTTTTAATTTTATAGAAATGATAATTGGTATCCTTTAAAAGATTCATAAAAATTCTAAAATATATTGGATAAATAAATAAGTATTTTAAATAAGTCTAATTAAATCATTATTATCTAAATATAAGATGTACTCCTTAAATTTGATGGTTTGTGAATTTAGTTTATTGTTCTTAAAACTTCCAATTTTAGTTTTTAACGAGTTAATATCTTCGACATTGTTATTTAAATGTTGATTATAGTAGGCAGATTGATCCAATGATTCGAGTTGATTTGACATGATGTGTCATAATAAAGTAGGTTAACTGGATAAAATAACATGGTCAAATAAATGATATTTTGATTCGTCGGTCAATTGAACTTTTTTGGTCCTACCTTATTGGTCACTCCTTCTTATATCACATCATGCTAAATCATCGCTCATTTAGTTCAATTATATTGTACAATTTACGTCTTAACACTTAAATAACCACATTAATGATAGAGACTTATCAAAATTAAAATCAAACGTTTAAAAACGTAATAAGAACTTTTCAAAGTTTAGTAACTAATTAGAGGTTCAACCTATCAAAGTTTAGGTACTTAATTTATAATTATAACGTAATATTTATGTTCATATTAGTGGTATTTTTGTGACATATTAAATTAATATCGAATTCTTGTATTTATAAAATATCAATGGAAATGTTGATAGATATTTGACTCTTAACTCTTTGTTTGTTTCCTCTTGACGTTAAGCATAAACCATGGGAAAGTGCATGCAAAACCATGTGCTTGGAGGGTTTATGCATGAATTTAATTCGTCTCTTGGCTAAAGTTTTTAAGGGTTCGGTTTAAGATATAAATTTAATTAGTTAATACATTCATATGAATTCAATAATGTATGATTTCAAATGTATTAACTCCAAATGATCGTCGATTGATGGTGACAGATTGAAAATATTGAAAATGTATTAACTCCAATATAGTTGGTATATAACAAAAACTACAATATATTTTTCCACACACTTTCAAATATCATTTCAAACTCCCCCATATATCTGAGCAATTCCAATAATACTACAACAATAATTCTATCTTTTTTCACGATGCACGTACGGATCTTTCAAATGTCATTTCAAACTCACCCACTTGGACAACTAGAATAATATTTCAAATACAATTCTATCGTTTTTGAGCATGCAATTACAATTTGTCACCATCAATCGATGTCATCGTAGTTAAACGTCTCCAAAAACACTTGTACTTGTGTTCCTCACCCAATCCAAAACTCATACATTGGTTGTGAAAATTAAACCCTAGCTAGATTGAACAATATATGTTACAAATTCTTTTGAGTTTGGCTACCAAATTAGAGACAGAAGGGGGTGGGAACAGACACCCAAAGAGGAGACAAACACATCACAAAAGAGAAGATAATGAGTTCAAAATAGTCGGTTTTAATTTGTCCCCTCTAAGGCCATTTATATTGGAACACAACACACCTGCCATTGCCATCCATAAAGTTGGCTTCCAAAACCCCAAAACGTGAAATAAGGTCCCAGCAAAGCCCCAAGTGTTTGTTGATAAGAGGCACACAAAAAGATAGTCTCCGCCGCGATATTAAATTTCTGTTGACATGTGTCGATGTTTTCATTGACATTTTTATATGTCTATAAGTTTGAGCTATTGATAGTTGGGTGGTGTTAAGGATGGAATTCCATAAATATTGATATGTTATTAGAGTCCAAAAAGTTCTGAACATTCAATCAAAAAATGAGATCCGACCAAGATCAATAAGCCAAAAAAGCAACGATCTTGAGAAGGTATTTTAAGGATCTCACGTTGATAAGAGATCTAACAAAGATTGATAATATAAGTGAGCTAATCCTCACATTACCAATCAATTTTGAGATGGAATTTTATGAATATTAACGAGTAGACGAGGTATCAATTATCTATCTTCAACTATAAGAATCGGCCTAGTCGGGAGAAAAAAGAAAAAAAAAGAGACACATTTGACACAAGGGATAATTTGAATTTTCATTTTATTACAGGAGTGTCATGAAATATATATATATAACACATAAGAATATGATGTTAATAATAAATATTTTAAACTTATTTTTAAGGTGTGTGGTGGTGTTTTTATTTATTAATTATACTTTTTTAATAATTTTCGTGAAAATATTCTTCAACGTTTTCTATGGACACTTTCATAAAATTAAGACATCAACAATATCAATACCTAAAACCTTAGTTTAAAAAAAAAACACTTGCTTCATACTTATTTTATTTTGGACTTTAAACTATCAAATGTTTTAGTTTTAATTTATTGACTTGTAGGGTAGGTGATTGAATTTCAACCACCAAAGTTCCCAAGTCCCTTCCCCGACCATTTTCTGATATGAGGAATACAATTAAATTCCCACATATTGATTAGATAAGAAGAGATCCTGGGATATATGAGTGAGGGGACAACATCTCATCGTATGAAGCCTTTTGGGTAAAATTAAAAGTAAAACTACACAGACTACGTAAAGTGGACAATAATAGAAATGTAAAAGATCTCTTGTCCATCACTAAATATTATGTGATATAAGTTTAGTTAATAGTGACTCAAAAAATCAACCTTCTTTTAGTACAACTTGTAAGGATAGAGATTCAAATTCACCATTTTTTTTTTATCAAAAATAGATATCTTAACTAGTTAAGTTATACCCAGTTTGACAAATATGAACCTATTTTATGTAATATACAAATCAATTTATACTTATATATATTAATTACCCTTAAATTAAAGTCGCCACATTAAAAGGAGAAATTTTATAGTACTACGAGAGTATTATACTCTCTCTCACTTACACAATAAATAGAAAAAATCGACTCCCCTTCATTTTTAATAAACTGTTGATGTGACAAATAATAAATGAATGAGAGTGATATTCTCGTGGTACCAGAAATTTTTCCCGTWAAAAGTGAGAGTTGGAGGAAGTTTTGTTTTTGGGTGTGGCATGTGAGTTGAAAATGTCGTGTAAGGCTACTCCTAGCTATTATGGAAAATTTCCCATCATAGTATTTAATAAATGCCACATATAAGCCATCCACGTAATGCCAAATCTCTCATGGAAAAGGACAATAAAAAATAAAAATAAAAAATTTTGTAAGCTTGGAAAAAACTAAAACTCAGGAAAGTTATATATCTTGATGGAAACTTAGGAAACTTGGGAAATTTATTTATCTTTAGTGTATTAGAACTACAATAGATCTACGGTCCGTCGCTTTTGACCCCATTTAACTAAAGTTTAATAATGGGTATCATCCAATAGTCTATATTTAACAAAGATCTACGAGTCCACTAAAATTATAGACTATTTTTAGAAGCCATCGATCTCAAAATGTCAATTTGAACATAATCCAAATCGCTATGCATCAAAGTCTCAATCTAACTCGGGTGGGTTTGATTCCTCCTCACACATTTTTAATTTTCAATATTCTAATGACAAAATTCAATCTTGTATATGAAGATGACATGGAGAAAATTATGAAAATAGACGATTTTCGCCAAAACGAGCATAGCGTTCACCGATAATTGACATATATCTCAAACTAAAAGGTTGTAAGTTCGATCACCTACCCCGGATATTATACTTAAAAAAAATCAATTTTGGAAAAATAAATTTTGTATCCTTAAATGCAAGAAAAGAAAGTCCCCATATCCCATGTGAGAGGMACGCAGAAATTGTCCAGCTCCATAACCACCATCTCTTGTTCGACAACTCACTACACTAACACACCTTCATCATATTCTTATAACAATATACCAAAACTAATTAATACCAACACATTTATTTATAATAAACAACAACTTATAAAATCAAATATAACTCATTGTCGACATGGGCATCATTCGACGGTAAATGATATCTATTCATTTCTTTAAGGTCGGAGATTCAAATCTTTATACTCTAAATTAATCGGTTATACTAAAAAAAAAAATGGTAAGAGAGGGAAAGTCTTGAAACTAACTAGTTTTTGCAATGATTGATAGGTCATTGTCCTTTTAACCTTCCTTAATTAAGATTAATTTATACCACATACTTATTACATTATATAAGAATGTCCGGTGATTTATTTTTTATTTAATCTTTAGAGATATAAGTATTTGATTACCTATACCATAAATTGACAAACTTAATAATATGGATTTAGGTTAAAAAACTCATTTGGTCTCGTAGTTTTATTAGAGTAACGATTTAGTCTCTGAACTTTTAATTGTAACGATTTAGTCCCTGTACTTTCATATTGCTAATAATTTAGTCATTGAATTTTAGTATGTAACAATTTAGTCCCTATAGTTTAAAGTTTGTAACAATTTAGTCCTTACCACGAAAATCATCATCAAAATTAAGCGTCAATTTTTATCATATAACGATTTAATTTTTGTAATTTATAAACTAATTCGATCCTTCGTCGGTTTATCGATTTACATATATAAAAAATTTAACCAGAAAAATTAACAATGGAGACTAAATCATTACAAACTTTAAACTTTCTAGGATTAAATTATTACCAATTTGAAATCGTTACTTTGAAAATTCAGGGACTAAATCGTTACTTCAATTAAAGTACACGAATCAAAAGTCTTATTAATCTATGGATCTATTAACTATAAATAAAACGGAAGGTTTGGAATTTATTGTAACTTTTAAAAAAGATGCTACAATAGTTTGAAAACACAGTTCAACGAGTCGAGATAGGTTTTTGATCGGTTCCAGAATCTCCAATCCACGTGCTGTTTGAGGAAAGGAAAAAAAAAATACAATACAATAGTTAACATCATTTTGAAAGAAGAAAAAAAAAGGACTAAAAATGGCAAACAATGGCATCATCAACATTCTTCTTCTTTCTCCCCCTAATCTTCTGGTCTGTTAGCAGTTTTAGGAGCAAAGTACGGAAACAGAGTAAAAAGTGTGGAACCTCTACGTTCAAACCCAACCAATAGAGAGAGAAAGAAAGAGAGAGGGGGAAAAAAAGAATTGGAAGCAACTGCAACTTTGCATTTCCATGCCAATCCTTCCATTTTCAAAATCTGAGGTATCCAAAACAAAGGAATGAAAATCCATATGGTTCTTGTTGAAGCTTCTTCTGTGAGTGTCTTTTCGTTTCTTCACTTTCTGGGTCGGTTTCAGAATATCTACTTTTGGGGACATTGAAGAAGAAACAGAGAGAGGGAAAAAACAGGGGAGGCCTCTGAGATTGTGTTCGATTTTTGGGTGTTTTTATTTCTTCTTGTTTAAATATCATCTGTGAGTGAATATGCAGGAAGAATGTGGGGGAGGGAATGAAATAGAGGAAGAGCGAGAAGAATGAGCAAAGAACTGGGTTGCATTGTAAGGGCCTGGGAATTTACCTTTCGAAAATCACACACCCGCGTAAAGAAGAAAACAAAAAGCATTTTCACAACAATGTCTGTGGCGCCAACGGACGATGAACCTGAACCCGCCCAAATGTCCCACGTCGAGATGATCCTGCCCAACGGTGACTTCTACGCCGGCCGGTGGGTCCGGGACCTCCCCGACGGCCATGGAAAGTACTTGTGGACAGATGGGTGTATGTACGTCGGCGAATGGAGTGATGGGAAGCCGATGGGCACTGGAAAGTTCAGCTGGCCGTCCGGAGCAACCTACGAAGGCGATTTCAAGAGCGGCTTCATGGATGGGAAGGGAACGTTTACGGGTAGTTCGGGCGATACGTATAGAGGCAATTGGGTTATGAATTTGAAGCATGGCCAAGGGATTAAGAGCTTTGCCAATGGCGATTACTACGAGGGAGAATGGCGCCGCGGTTCGCAGAACGGGCATGGCCGGTATCAATGGCGGAATGGGAATCATTACATTGGGAAATGGAGGAATGGGAAGATCAATGGCAATGGGACGATGATTTGGAGGAATGGGAAGCGTTATGATGGGTATTGGGAGGATGGGTTTCCAAAAGGAAATGGGACATTCAGATGGTCAGATGGGAGTTTTTATGTTGGGATTTGGAGTAAGAATCCAAAAGAGCACTCTGGAACATATTATCCATCTGGGTCTACAGATAACAATTTGGATTGGGATCCTCAGGAGGTGTTTGATGTAGACTTGGTTGACTGCCTGATATACCCATGTGAAAAGGTTTCAATATTTCCTTCTGAGAAGCTGGTAAACAAGGGTGGATCTGAAGGGGAGTTGTTGCAGAGAAATTCAGTGGACAGCCATAGTTTTGAATCTGATGTTGGTTCTAAGGATGGGAGTGTCAGAAATGGAGTGGAAGGATCCATGGATGTTCCTACTCAAGATTCAGATGCCAAAGGAAATGGACAGCAGCAGTTGAGAGTACAATTGAAGGGACAGGGTGTGACAATATCTAAAGGCCATAAGAACTATGAACTTATGCTAAATCTTCAGTTGGGGATCAGGTATCAAAGGGGATCAACTTTATTTTGGTTCTTATTTTATTTCCTATTTTCTTTATCTTTTGGTTTCTAGTTTTCACTCCCATTTTGATCCTTGTTTTGGATTGCAACAATGTCCTCCAAGTGTGGTTTGCTCGTAGGAGCAGCTTTTGCAACCTTGAGAAATATCATCTCTCATGACATGTATTGTATACATCTTAGCGCTTAAATTTCAAACTGGTGATCTTTTAAACTGCTCTACTGGTTCTCTCCAGCCAATCAGTCTGAAACATGGATTTCAGGAAAAGTAAATTCATTCCTAGTGGTTTCGAAGTTTTGAAGTTTGTAAAATTTTCTAATCTTGCCAAGCTTCTATTGAAACTTTTCAACTTCCTAACTGAAAACCTGGGAACGCTTTGTTTTCCTCCAAAGTGAAGCAATGAAAGAGTTGATAAAATTTGCTGAGAAGTTTCAGAACAGGTTGCACATTTATGAGATTTTATTCATGTCCCCGCTCCCACATTTTTCATTTTTATCTGGACAGACATTCTGCTGGAAGGCCTGCTCCTTCCTCTTCATTTGAATTGAAACCTTCAGCATTTGATCCAAAGGAGAAATTTTGGACAAAATTTCCACCAGAAGGATCTAAGTGCACTCCACCTCATCAATCCTGTGACTTCAGATGGAAGGATTACTGTCCTGTAGTATTCAGGTCAGCCATTAAATACTAACATGAATCTTCCTGCTAAACATCACTGCTGTATTTCTTTCCAATGATCTTTTGTATTGAGGGCAAGTTATCTAGTAAATGGTTTTATGTAACTTGTATAACTATATTATTGAAAACAGAAGGCTATTATCTTTTGTTCACCTATATCTATATACCGACACGATTTTTTGATGACCGAAGATGTTTGAGGTTGCCATCATTGGTAGCATAACTGAAGAACAATGCTTAAAACTCCTATATTGATCAAATAACTTTTCTTTGTAGAAAACATACATACATGTTCCACTTCACTATTACAAATGGAATGAAATAGTGCAGAGCCTCACGGATCATTCTATCCATATTTAGGACTCTTAGGAAGTTGTTCAACGTGGATCCAGCGGATTACATGCTATCAATATGTGGGAACGATGCCTTACGGGAGCTTTCCTCCCCCGGAAAAAGTGGAAGCTTCTTTTACTTAACCCACGATGACCGCTACATGATAAAAACCATGAGAAAGGCTGAAGTAAAAGTGAGTTTTCTTTGCCCTTGTTGGTTCAAATTCCTTGCTTCTTATGGTACACAAATTTAAACTAGAATCCTGTAAGAAGATCAGAGTATGGTTTCTCTTGTCCATTCCTCATCTTGTTTCCTCTGAGTTCTTTTTCTTTCCCTTGTCATACTTTCTTTCCAAATTTTGTGTCTGAGGCTGAAAAATGTGAATGTACAAGTTTTATATGAACATTACATGTCACTTTAATTGAAAGTTGTACCATTATAAATGCCAATAACACTCACCGTAAATTCCAGGTTCTCATACGGATGCTGCCAGCATACTATAAGCACGTTGAAGACTTCAAAAACACTCTGGTTACCAAATTCTATGGTCTTCATTGTGTGAAGTTAAGCAGTACTCAGAAAAAGGTAATGAGGGACATATTATAACATTAATTTGAAGCTTAACTTTCTTTGGATTCACATTCCTGCAATTACAGGTGCGATTTGTCATCATGGGGAACCTGTTTTGTTCGGAGCATTCAATTCACAGGCGATTTGACTTGAAAGGTTCCTCCCTTGGTCGTACAACCGATAAGCCAGAGTCAGAAATTGATGCAACCACAACCCTTAAAGATCTCGATCTAAATTATATATTTCGGTTGCAAAAGATTTGGTTTGACGAATTTTGCAGGTAAAACCACCTTTGTCCAATCTCTTCCCTCATCATATTTTCCTTATATCCATCTTTTATTCAGTAGTACCTATTATTGTTGGCTGCATAGAATGGTATGATTGCAAGTTCCTATTAACATTTCTTCACTTACTGAAACCCTTAACTGTTGTAGGAGACGTGCTATTCTAGTGAAACTAATTTCATTTATATTGTTTGTTGCACTACTATGCATGAAAAATAATCGGTTAGCAAGGGATTATCTAAACTTTACTTGCAGTTTCAGTTGTTAGGAGTCCAATTAGTTACAGGAGAGAGTAATACACACGTTGGAAGTAGGGATCTTAGGAAGATACATATTGTTGTTTAAGGAATTGTAGGAGGGAGAAAGAGAGTCCCCTCGAAATGTGATTGCCCCTGTTATATGCAGAATCATCTTGTACTAGGGGCTATTCGATCGATAATGCATCACAACCCCATCTTCTGAAACTGGCTGGAGATCCTATCAGCTGTATTGAAACTCTGTTGGCAATCAGGATGTGCTTTAGTATCTACTTTGTTTGGAAATCACTAAAGTTATTATTGAATGGGATGTCATTAGTTCATACAATTTGACTCTTAGACCCTGGTTTTGGTTATAGATCATAATGTCATGTCTCAATGGGTTAAAGGCTTATGTTTCATTCCCTTAAACTCTTTTTGGTTCTTGTTTCACATGTCCTTGTGAGTTAGGTGCTCAGATGAGGCATGAATGATAAATTTTCTTGCTTTTCTCCCCCATTACAAGTTGGAAATTTACATTTATGCAGGCAAGTCGACAAGGATTGCGACTTTCTTGAACAGGAGAGAATTATGGATTATAGTATGTTGGTTGGTCTTCACTTTCGAGAAGCTTCGCAGAAGGAACAGAACATGCCGAATGGCCATCATTCTGTAAATTTTACTCCCAATGGTTAGTTCTTGTCTTACAGATATTTGTCCTTCCATAGCTCAAGCCATTCATTAGCACCTAATGGGTTATGCAAATATCTCTCTGCTTTGGACTCATTTTTGCAGGAAATAGTAACCATGATGGTGAAGCACATTCATGCTTAACTAGAATGGCCTCTTCAAGGTATAACTCAACTCTTAGAAACAGTCTGTTTATTCTGTACTTCAATAGTTGTTCCCAAACATAACACTCGAAAAGTATCGAATTGTATGTCGTTAGTTTTCGAGATTTTTATTCGTATTGAATGATTTTACAGGTGGGCTTCTACTAGTTTGGGAATAAACATGGAAGCAAAGGCTGAAAAGACCATAAGAAAAAGTGATTTGGAAGGCCAACTAATTGGGGAACCCACAGGAGAGCTATATGATGTTATAATTTTCTTTGGCATAATTGACATTCTACAAGACTATGACATTAGCAAGAAACTTGAGCATGCATACAAATCAATGCAATATGACCCAACATCAATCTCCGCTGTGGATCCAAAGCAGTACTCGAGACGGTTTCGTGATTTTGTCTTCAGAGTTTTCTTAGAAGACACTTGAGAGCAAAGCGTATTGATTGACCATATTCTTCGGTTTCCAGCAGACGACAGCCGGGTCGATGTTCTCTCAGTCTTATGGCAATGGGATTGCTTGTCCAGCTGAGGATTATCTTTGGCTGTACACTGCCAGATTCATGTTTGGCCAATTAGACTGTTTTTAAAAAACCAAGTTTGAGGTACATTTTTTATTTTAAACTATAGTCATAAGTATCCATTGTTCTAGTTTAAGTTATAGATTAAAGTTACGCAGAGAAATTTCCTACTTACCAATTTGTAAATTTGTATACGAAGGATAAGAATCAATATATATTATGATCAAACCATTTTTTTGGATCCATTTTTCTTATCAAATTATTCCTCAAACTAATAAAATACTTTCACAAACAAAGAATCAATGTGAGAAGGGTGAAAAGGTAACTAAATGTTTGAGAACATTAACAACAATGAAAAAGAAAAGGGAAAAAGAAAAAAACTAGTTGCATACCTAATAAAAAAAGAAACAAAATATTGCATATATAACAACCTAAAAGTATATGAGAAATGGGAAATACTCGTATTCTGAAAGTTTAATTTCATCGAATTGGACTATAAACTTGGATAAATGTTCCAATTTTTACCTTATATTAAACTTCTATTAAAGGCTATTTTTTGCACGCGTCTAACTAATATTTTCATTTGGGAGAAGCTTTTGAAGGAACTCAAATAGGCAGAAGGTTGAAGAATGAGAGGGAGAGATAGAAGATGAAGGGACAAAAGAGAAGGAATGAAGAACAAATTTGGATTGAGGAGAAGGATCAGGGAAATTTGGATTGGAGTAGATTTGGTAATTTCATTTAGGAATTGTGACGATAACTATCCATATGTTGAACATGAAGGGAGCAATAATGCATATATAGGTGCGAACACGGTGAAAGCGAAGGACTAAATTGTCGTCAACATTTTCATTGTGTCAAAGAGTTCGACATCGACATGAGAGATGAATCGACCATTTTTTAGCATTGCAAAAAAAATGTCAAAATATAAAAATATCAACAAAATATCACTAATATGAACATGATATTAATAGTAATATTTTTTTTTACTTATTTTAAAAGAGTGAAATGTTTATTTTTTAATTTAAAAATTTATTATGCACTTTTTATTTTTATGAATTTTTTAAAAATATTCACCAATATCAACATTTATCTATACCGGTCGACATAGACATTTAAAACTTTGGGTGCGGGTGGGTCGCATTCTATTCTCGTCTTTATTGTAGTATCAAACCATGATGTTTTATAATTTGGATACAACTTGCAAACTTTTTGCTCGTCCAAAAATAGCAAACCCCTTTGATCATACAATATTGATGCTTTATTTTGAGAAAAATTTTTGTAGTATGAAAACCTTACTCTATTTGTTCACACTATTAATTTGTCTTTGTAAGTAATTTTTTAATGTTGATGACCCCACATCATTTTTAGAACGATATTGACATAGTAAACAGTGAATGAAAAGAGTATCCATACTCCTGTAGTACCAGAAATTTTCTCATTTTGAGATTTAATTAGTCCATAGAATTTATTTTTTTAAAATAGTCCAGAGAGTCTTTTAAGTGTTGAAGAATAGCTTATGGAAGATATGAAAAAGCACAAGCGATGTGAGAACAATCCTAAATCAACCTTCGCTTCCAGAAGTATGGAACAAGGGAATATGTAGGCGAGAATATGGGAAGGGATCAGATGTGTCCCGATGGGAGTAGTTCGAATTTGAAACCTCTTGCTTTTACAATATGTTAAATCACCACTAGACCCAAAAACATAAACATATATTTTAATATATTTTAATGTTGTATCCATGTTCTTGAGATTGGTATAAAACCAAAAACAAAACGATATGATTATTTATATTTATCAGTTAGAATCAAAACAGGGCAAGAAGGATGTTACTATCTTGCTGCTCCACTTCAATAAAAACCACATATGGTATTAAATCCTAAATATTATGCTGATATACTATCAATTGTACCCTTGACTCTCCAGAAAAAAAAAAGTAAAAAAAAATATAAATAGGGAAAAAAAAACAATGAAAGAGAAGGAAACAAAATTTACTAAATTACATGAATTTACAGGAGTAGAAGTTTATACATGAATATTTAGTGGTATAGTATGGACCAAATTCTCTCAAAAATGCCAAATTAAAGGTTTCAACATCTGAGGCTATGACTCCATAGTCATTATAAAGCATCCAGGCTATATTGAGTTACCTATTCTATATACAGGGGTCACCCATCTGATTACCGAGGTTTAGTCGAGCAGACGTAATATAGTTACAATATGAGTTGATTACCATGGTTCTGAGTTCTTACCGATGAAGTTTCGAGTGTAAGAGGGACTGCTCCAACCATCTTCCATCATAATAAGGGCAAGGCGTTTCATCAAGTTATTCACAGCTTCCTCCTCCTGGCAACTTATTGTATCGGATGGACTTAAGCAACTCTGCAGTGGTTGGCTAATGCGATCAGTTCATTGAGGGTTGGCCAATTTCTTTCCTGTTCTTTAAGTTTTGTGTTTGAAAACGTAGACCCGCGTACCTTTGTTTCTTGATACAACTTCAAATACTCCAGAGATTGCTCATAAAAGCCACAATGGTATAGAAGGATGCTATAATCTCTCAATTCCTTCGGATCAACATCAAGGAGGATAAGCCGTTCACATGCTGCAAGAGAGTAACAAACTTACAGCTTCAGATCAAGTAAGAGAAGAAGAGGTAAACATTTTTCCTCGAGGAGAGAGAATATTTTGGTGTTATATATGGAATGCATAATGTGGATGAAAGAAAATTAAGAAGGGAAAGAACTGTTCAAACTTGTAGAAACCCATGAGCCAAGTTTTGAGATCTAGTTGGGGTTCAGAATAAGGCTTGAATTGTACTGCGACAAAATAGACCTATGTTTAGGCCATGAGTGGTAGGTTTAGTCTTATGATGGGAAGCAACTAACATTAAAGGATATGCCCAATATTCTACTACAAAAGAAGGAGATTCTTATGAATCCTCCCTTTCGAGATAAAAAAGGCTTATTCTGTGGCATGCATGTTTTTTTTTTCCCCAGATATTGTTTGGGGTATTTGGCTTGAAAGGAATGGTAGAATCTTTAGACGGATGGAGAGGTCTTGAAAAGAGGTTTGAGATGCAGTTAGATTCAACTCTTCCCTTTGGCATCCGTCTCTAAATCATTTCGTAATTATCAGTTAGACTTTATTCTTCTAAATTGGAGCTCTTTTATGCTTAGTTAGTTTTAAGATCTCCTTTTGTGGGAGCGGGTTTTTTTGTATGTCTTGGTTGTTCTTTCATGTTTCTTCTTAGTGAAAGCTTAGTTTTTCATAAAAACATTTTATATGATGCTACAAAAGACAATCACCATGCTTTGTCTAGCAACCAGATACAAGTGAAGAATGAAAAAAAGAGGAATGCCTGCTGGGATTACTGCAATAAGCCTGCATGTCCCCATTAAAACACGCTAGAAGTTACATAACAGGACAACAAATGGGAGACTAGCGAGTCGTAAATACTAGGAAGCAGGCTGCCTTTCCTCATTAGGTTTGCACCAGCAAGGCTTAAATACTACATCAGTTTGCGAAGTACCTGAAAACCAATATAAACCCTGCTCCTTCATACTCAGGTTCTCTGGGTAACCAAGTAACTATGGTAGTTCCAATTTGACAATCTTACAGAAAAGTTAAAAGGATTTCTAGAACTGTAGTCTAACACCATACCTGATAGTGCACGCCTCATATCTCCAAAACGTACACTGGTCCAAACTCCACGTTCTAGCCTGTGTTGAGCAGCCTTTGCAGATGCAAGCTGAAAGCCACTAGAGAAGACGCAAAGGCAAAAAACAGAGATATTTACGCACATACCTACAAGCACTAACTGGAAAGAGGGGGTGGGGGAGAGAGGGATGTATATAGTAATTGGATGCTGAATCTGGTGATGCAAGGGAATTAGATGGAACCAAATATTAACTCTCCCCCAGTAAGCCTGTGCTGCAAATTTAAATAGCTGAAATACCTTTCTTCAATTGCATTCGATCTATCACTACAGTTAGCAACATCAGCGGCCCTTAAGAATAAACTTCTGGAGTTATTTTGTTGAAATGGCCAAAAAGATTCCTTTAAATTGCTTAAAATCTGCATTCATGTGCACACCAAACAGAGAGAGTAGATCAGAACTCGTCTAGATTACCACACATAATTAGGACTCTAGGTATTAAACAAAGTCTAAGCCCATGTGTGAAAGAGGGTAATAATAATTAATATAAATGACTAAATTAATCTTACCAAATGGATTAGAAATTATTTAACAATAACTACTACTCATTTTTTTTGGCACCAGCATACTCCTTAGAAATGAAAATTTAGCATATAACGCATGACAGAGGCGTGAAAAGTTAGCATATTGCATGATAGAGGTAGTGATGCCAAAAATCTGAGACAGGCCCTGGTGCAATTGAATATAATTCTAAAATCTTTAGAAGGGGACATATATTCTAATCAGAATCAGGGATAAACAGCAGCTACGAAGGAAATATCTTTGAAGGAACATGGTCAATAAAATTAGATATACTGATGGGAGACTGAACAAAAGTTATAATGTAAAAACTACCTCCACCAAGAGACTTTGTGTTGTTATTATGTGTGGTTGATCAGATTCCTTGCTTTTCTGTTTATGATAGCCCGTGGGAAGGCTATAACCATCATGAGGATGATATATCTCTACATCAAAATCCAGAAGGCTCCATAAACGAAGCATTTTCAGGATCTCAGAGTATACGAGTGAAAGTAGTGCAGCTGAGCCTGTACGATGGGTCAAGACCTGTCAACATGAAACAAAATATTGCAAAAGAATAATTCAATTCCATAAAAAAAAAAAAAAATCAGAACAGAAAACTCAAATTATAAAATAGAGGGCAGAATGTTTTACTGTGTGAAGATATAGAGCTCGTGATTCTGATTGAGTTGTAGAACTGGTTCTTCTGAAACCCTACAATGTGAAATATGTCATAGGCAAAAAAGGGGAAAGCAGTGGGATGCATACTGGATTCAACAATAAATAAACTTATCGTAATTATATACAACGAAGGTACACGTTTGTCGAAATTTAAGAATCATACCTTCGTGACGTACATATACCTCTCTATACTCTCCAAAAAACTTTCTGGTGATAAATTGAATGAAGATTTGTAGTGAGTACAATAGCCCATGGAAAGGTCACTTAGTCTATTAATAAATGCATCGATGGGAAGAGGAACAGATGAATGAGATACCAAGGAATCATCCTCTGCTGCAATATAAAGAGCAGCTTTCGCCAAATCAACACGTCTATTAATGCTAATACTTGTTTCCTTCTCTATATTAGAAAAATATCGAATCTGAGTCAAGAAACCCTTCCTAGCCTCCTGCATAATCATCGAGAATCGTAACAAGATTTATTTGATGACCATTTTTTTTGAAGGAAATAGAACATTTCTTTGATATTTGACAACCATGTTAAGCAGGCACTGTCAAAGCATGAACTCAGAGCATAAATATCAAACTGTGCAAGCAAAATAACTTCAGATAAAAACATCAAAGTTTAACATTAAATATAGTTTTGATCTTAAAGACAGGCTTCTAATTCGGTCCCGAAAGTTAAAAATTATATGTTCTAAATTAAGAAAAGGTAGAAAACAAGGTCGTCCCACTTAGTCAAAAGTTTCAATGGAGTGAATGTAGAACTAATAGAACATTTCAAGCTTTAGGACCAAAACTAAACCAGAATTACATCTTATCTGGGTGTTTGAAAACAGAGGTGAAAGATTACTCCGATGAATTCGATCCTCTGTAAACAATCAAAATCGAACTAATGTCTGAGGAGGAAAAATTCCCATCGTAGATAAAGGAAATACAGAGGAGATTAAAATTTCCACGAACGCCCAGATACCCCATTTCGCCCAAAACAAAATCAGCAGAACGATTGCATCAAAAACACCAGGTAAGAAAAAGATAACAAAACAGAACGGAAAACAGAAGAATACCTTCGCATATGTGGAGTCAATTCCAGAAGAATCCATAGCATCGTGTAGATGGAAGTGCAAATCCTTGGCAGCATAGTGGTGCTGAAATTCACCAGAACAAACCACTCGAAAACACGGAGGAGATGAATTGAATTTAGAAAACTTGGAAGAATTTGTCAGTATCGGATTCCATAAGGAAGCAGAAGCAACAGTGATTGAGTTCATTGCCAGCTCCAGAGAGAGAGAGAAGAGAGAGAATCAAAGTTGCTAAAGAAGAACAAAATATCCCATTACTACCATACTTCACTGAAGTGATATTTAAATTAAATATATTAGCAATAGTTGTTCTTGTTTTTCAGGGAAAAAAATATCAGCCTTAGTTACATCAACATGTGGGGAATCGAATTTTATGGTTGCTGCGATGGTGGTCTGAGTATCAAGTTAGGTCATGAATCAATCCTTGTCTTCCTCTCATCTTGAACCCGAAACTTAGAGGTTTAGCAACAAATGTGTCATTCTTGTAATTTTTATCTAAGGAAACAAAGAAGTTTATTTTCAAGCCCTAATGATGGATATGGACTAATAATGTTGGAATATATATTGTTCAAATTTCTTTGGGTAATTGTAGTAATTGTAGTGGGCAGTAAAAGTAATTTATGTATTTTGAAAAATGTCACATGTTTTTCAAAATTTTAAATATAGCAAAATATTTGAATTTTTATTATATATATATATATWTTTTTTTTATATACCTCAAATTTATGATATACTAAATATATTTGCAACTGATATACCTAAAGGTATATCAGTTGTTTAAATTATAGTTTATAATTGTAATTTATTGGTTGATATACTAATATTATCAATAATGTTGATTACTATATAATTACTATTTATTTTATATTCATATTAATAAGATACTAGAAATAATGGATACAAACTATTTAAATTTATTAAGTATACCAGATTTTTAACTTGTTTTTTTACGTGCATGATCCACATAAACCTTTTATACAATAATTTTATATTTCAAATTTTTTTTTTGCATCATTGTTTTCGTATGAAAAAATGGTGGATATAATAGTATTATATCAATACACATGTATCATAGTTATATTAGTAAATATCATGATTATATCAGACATATATCAATGATAAATTAGAAGCATATTAAATATATACAAAATATATATCAGTCGTAATAATCATATATAAGAAGTTATATCAGTGGCATATCATTTGTATATCAATGATAAATTATGGACATATCGATATAGTAAATCAATGGTTATAATACGTATATAAGYAGTAAGCCATGTTAAAAGTTCAATAGATATCATAGTTATATCATATCAGAGGCATATGTTATTGCAGACATATTACAAATGTATATAAGATATATTGCAAGGTAAAATTATAATTTTAAAATTAAAACTCCATTTTTTGTTGGAAAAAATGCTACATTTGAAAAAATTAAATGTGGTTACTATTTTACTTATTTTACTAAATATTTTTGCCATATTTACAACTGCCCCTATTATATATTTAGAAATCTATACTTGTTATTCCGAGAAGCTTATGGTGAAGGATAACTATTAGGTCCATGATAAAAATTCAGTAATTAAAAATTGATTCTTCTATATGTTTCTCGAAAGACCAAATTAAATTAATTCTCACGGAGATAATTATGTTAAAATATAAAATTAATTTAAAAAATCCAAACGCAAGTAACTTGAAAGGAACACTAAGCAGAATTATTAACCATTTATATTATTAATAATACGAATCAAATCAGATTTGACATGTGATGTTAAAATTTTCAATTTAAGTTGGACATACTAGTCAACATAATATTAAATGAGAAATCTAAATGAGATAAAATTAATATACATTCCAAAAAATATCATTCTTTTTTTTTCCATAATATCATTCATAAGCTCATTTAAATATATGTTATGAATATTTTACTTTTATAATTTTTCTAAAAGTATCATTATGACATTTCCATAAAACTGAAACACTTCTATCGATATTGATATTTAAAACCTTTGTCCCCACAGATTGGATAAATCTCTTACCAAAATGGCTTTCCAACTTATTGTCTCTTTTCTGCCACGTACAAAAACGATTAACATCTGGTAATCACAAGAATGCAACCATATTAAAACCTTTAAAACTACAAATCTAAGGCCTAAGCACATACTATAGAAACTAAAATGTTAGTTTTAACATTCTTTTTGTCCTTCAATCATCAAGATTATAGAATAATCCAAAACCAACAAAACAAAACAAAACAAAAATATAGGACATACTATTGCAATTGATCAGAAAATTTGTTGAGGCTATGTACATCAAATCTTGTGAACTTCCACTCTATGGAATACAGATGTCATGGTTGATAATAGTGAACTGTTTTGCATAGTCAGAATCATTGAATGTTCAACACACGCAAGTCTTTCAGAAGGCAAAGGGTTGGATCAAGACATCACTACTGTATAGGAAGCACTTTCCTCACTTCAATAGCTATTCAAATTCTTAAGGCTCAAGGGGGAAGTTGAGAATTGGGGAAGCCTAAGAGAATTAGTAGAGAGAATTGATTTGGAATTGGCAAGATTTGTAGTAAATACAGCCTAATCAACCAATGCAACAGAACAAGTTATAACCACCCAATGAACCCTGAGAACTGAGAACTGCTTTTTTATATATATGGGGAAAGAAGAACTGAAGCTTCTTATTGACCCCACAAATACAAAATCATCTGCCTCCTATGTACAAGTCAAAATAGCAGACAATGTGGATCACTTTACCTCTGCTACTATGGGAGAAGTGAGGTTCCTGAGCTCTATTCAAATGGCTACTCACTATTGTTGATTCCCATTTTCAGTTTCTTCTGGAATTGGAGTCAGCTCTTTGCCAACGTTTTTGTTCTCATTTTCCTCAGATGCGGAGTTTCGATCTCGGGGTTTACCTGAACGAGGTTTCCTGAAGTACTTGGCTACAAATGGTTCGGCGATGTCAGGATACTTGCCCTTGACGAAGTTATCAAGGCATTTACGATACGAGAAGTCCTCTTTATGGCCGTCGGTTGACACAACATAGAAGCACCTGCTCTCCTGAAAGCTGCTGTGCCGACTAACCTGTCAAAGTACAAGCATTACACTGCAAATGTAAAAATTGTTGGGAGCTCCAAAGCAAATGAAGATTACGCTGCAACCAATTTCCCAATAAATAAAATAAATCCATCATACAGAAGTTTGCCACATGTCCTTGCATTGTTAAATATGATACTAATATTAGTCTTCGAAGTTTTTTCTAACAATATCGGGACCCGTAATATGTAATTAACTTCACAATCAAGCAGCAAACTGTACCAGTAAAGCATCTCCTATGAATTCATGTTTTAGAATTCTATCGATGCTGGGAATGTTCCTCACTTTGAACCAACCAAATATGAAAAGACAACTGAATTTTTTCTAGGAACTTCAAAATTCCATCTGTCAAAATAAAGAAACAAGCTTTTTAACGTCACCTAACCCTGATGACTACTTAGCCGTTTGGTGTTCTCCTTGTCAACGCATCTAAGAATGGCTCAATAGGGTTGAAAGGGATTTAGCACACATCGAAAAGTTTCGTAAATGACAGCAAGAGTTTTAACCAAACGTAATAAAAGTACCTTCTCTAATGACTACGGTGGTGAAATCTGAACTGAAAATTCTCCCCAAAAGGAGTTCAATTTCATAATCTTTAAGAGGTCACCCTTGTTTTTCTTTTTTCTTTTTCAAATTTTCTCAGCCCAAAATCACAACTGGAGTCCCTATATTTTCTAAATAACCTGTGGTTCCAGTGGATGCTACTACACCCTCAAACTCAATGTCAATCGTTCTAAGAACAATCATTTTCTACAACTACTTCCAAGATTCTAGATCTTCTACGTTTTATTGGGATCTATCTCAACCTCACAATAACGAACAGTACGACTCCATCTCACCATACAAGCTCACCCTGTAATGCCTAAAATAGGAGAAATGATTGTAAAGTATAGATGATGTGATGGATGACAGGAGGAAACAGAAGAGTCAGGGGGAAGGGGTTCTAGTAATTCCCATATTTGTCCCATATACGAAAAATACCTTATTTTAATTGCACTAAAAAAGCTTTAAACAACTAACAAAGAAGAGAGAGGTGAAGGAAAAAAATTAAATATCTAATAAACTTGGAGAAAATAATAACAGCAAGAGAAACATACCATGAAGTGGTCAATTCCAGCACCCATTTTTACAGCTTTGTCAGGATGGAAGTTAAATACATTCTGAAGTATAAAGGATTGATCTTCGGCAGACAGAGGATCCCCATCGTTGTACCTTCTCAAAGAAAATACATAATTGAAAATTTAAATAGGATGAAAATGTTGCAGAAATAGAGGTGGTATAAACTGCGCACCACTGTTTTGTTGTAAAACAAAATAATAATTTAAAAAAAAAAGGGAAGAAGGGAGAGCCTCAGCATTTCTCTAAATGTCCTCCATTCAACTGTTCAATGGTACTAAAATCACCAGTAGCTCCAAAAACAAAAGTTGTTATATAAGAAAGATTAAAAGAAAAAAAATCGAGAACATGACTAATACACTAGCCAGAATATTTGAGCAAGTCTACAGACAAAAAGGAAACAGCATAACAGTTTATGAAGAAACTGATGTAAAAAATGGAAAAATATTCAGCAGAATATAAAAAATTTCTATGAATTTAAGGTATTAATGTAATAAAAGAAGAATTATACAACAATATATTTTGAAACTAGAACCCAGATGTTGCAGTTTAAAGAAGAAAGAAAGAAGCCTTGATAAAACTATGAGAGAGGCGATGTTGAATGACTAGAAAAAAATTCTTTCCCTTTCTCAGGTTTGGGGATACGACATTTTCTTTGCATGGTTAGATGAGAAAACAAATATCAAACACAAGGATTTTTTCTGGTTCAAGAAGGGGTATAAATAGAATTAATCGACTTAATATTTCTTCAACAAGAGCAAACAATTATCTCCACTTTCCTCCCTCTAAACAGAAGGTAACGGGGAATAAATGATTGTAATGCGTGCAACGATATTTAACAAGGAGTAACTCGTCACTCTCTTATTCCATTCTCAAGCTACCATCCAATAGAATAGTTTACTATGAAATACCCTTACCCCTCTGCTATAGTGCTATTTCCAATAAATACTAAGCATGGGATTCGCCTAGGTCCCTATCATTTTCTGGCCACCACAACCAAACTAAAAACGTTTTCATAAGCAGATCCATTTTTCACGTCTAATAATTATAATTAACAAAATTATTATAAGCAACCAATATTTCCTTCTTTTGGAAGCAAAGAGGTAAACACAAATCCCCATGTTAAGTGGAAGCATTCAGAGAGAAAAAATACCCAGATTGATGCATAATTTTTCTGATGGATTGCATGATAGGTTCAATATCGGCAAGAATATCTTGTTCTTCGGTTGTAAACATATCCAACCGTTGTCCTGATGCAGTATATATTGCACGTAAACCAGCATCGTCGTTAAGAATTCCAGGTGATTTTGGAGGGCGGTTCTTCCTGTTTTTCCACTCCCCAACATTTGCTCCCCAACCTTTTGACCCTTGATTTTTTTTCTCCCATGCATGTGAAGTTGTCAATTCGCTCGACTCTTTATGAGAGCCCCAACCATGTGAAGTTGCCAATTCGCTTGACTCTTTATGAGAGCCCCAACCATGTGAAGTTGTCAATTCGCTTGACTCTTTATGAGAGCCCCAACCATGTGAAACTTCTGGTGATTTTTGTACTTGACTAAATTGTTTATTCGAATCATCCTGAGATCCCTGACTAAATTCTTCAGATTCCCTCTGGAGCTGCCCCCATGAACCCATCGAGTCATTTTGGGAACTCCAACTTTGTGAAGCTTCCAAAGACTTCTGCTTGTCCCATGGCTTATTCAACTTCTCCTGAGAGTCCCAACCTCGTGAATCAGAAGATTTATGCTCACTCGCAACTTGATCAGACTCATTCTGCGAGCTCCAAAGTCGTTCAACTTGTGTATTTTGACTTGAGCCTTCGTTTGACTTAACTTGGGAGCCCCAGCCTTGTGAAGGTTTTATAACATCTTGTGATTTCCGTTGCCCCCAGAAATCATTACCAGATTCTCCCCGGAAAACCTCTGATGATTTATGTTGATTCCAAGAATGATTGATGAGAGGTGAATCACCATGTTCCACTGCTTTGGATGGAAAGTTATCCTTCGAGTCCTTCCTTTGAGTGGCCCTGCTACCCCACCTATCAGCCACCGTCTCTAGGTCCATTGATGCCTGGTCATCATTCCTGCATGCTTCAGATTGATCAGCATCTCCAGAATTCTTTTGCCAACCCCCTGCAGAATCCCAACCGTTTGTTTTGGAAGGAACTTCTTGCACTTGAACCTGGCATGATTCAGCTTTATCCTTCACCTGGTTAGACCAATTATCATATGTTTTGGAAGTTCCTGTTGACCAAGCCTTATCCTCCGATCCACAAGATCTAGAGTTAATCTTTTTAATGAAGGCATCTTGTGTTTCAGCTTTATCGTTCTGCCAACCAGACCATACATTTGCTTTTTCTGGCTCTGTTTCTCCTTTAAAGTTATCAACATCTTTAGCTTTCGTCCCCCAAGTAGCTGCAGTATCCCAACCGCCAGACTTTGGAGTGTTCTCCATGGAATTGAAGGAATCTGGTTCAACTTCTTTTGTAGCAGAATTTGACCAGTCATTGTCATTTGTTGTAGTATTAGTAGCTTTATTTCCCCAGCTTGGCGTACTATCCCAACCAGATTTTGAAGTATTCTCTTGGGCTTTTGTAGTGACCACATCAGGCTCAACTTTTCTCCCCCAACCAGACCAGTCATGATCATTTGATGAGTTAGTAGCCTTCGTATTTTCATTATTTTCCCACTGCCCACTACCAGTGGAACCAGCACCAGAAGGTGGAGCCTTTTCCCACTTTGATTCTCCAGGATAATTATCCAAACAGTTTTCAAATTCAGCACTGTCTTCAAAAACTGGCTTCTCAGAAGTAGAGAAAGGCTCTGGAGACAGAGTCAACTCCCTATATTCATCTTCTACCATTAGATCCTCAATCTCTTCACCTAGGCATGCAGACGTAAATTCTTCGGATTTGGCACTTCTCACCATGTGTAAGAAGTTATAAACATCTAAAACATCATCTTGTTTGCACCCTAACTGAAAAACAGGAAGAAAGAAAAAAATGTGCATGAACAAGATCTTTAAAAAAGTAATAACAACAACAACAACAGTTATAATTATAATAATAATAATAATAATTGATCGCTACCTCTTTTTGGTCCCAGAGGATGTCAAACCTTGATCCTGTACCAACAGCAACATGCTTACCCCATGAACAGGAGGCCACTATGCTTGATAAAGAATCCTTATGACATTTCTCAGCAGCTCTCTCAAAGCACCTTCTTGGTGTCTGTAAATCAATAGAACAAAATGATGTGACTGATAGTGTATCAGAAAGAAACTAAAGCTCCATAGCTTTTTGAGAGAGGGACTTACAAACAGAGTTGCTTCTGTAAATGGTACTTGGATATTCAATGCACGAGATAATGCTTTATATCCACCTGAATTGAAGCCAATCATATTTCCTGTGCATGTCATACTGTTTGCCAGAAGAATAAGATGATCTCCAAGAACACCTTTTGAAACCATTGACACTGACTTCGCAAGGCGCTGCATTTAAACCAACCATCTAACAGATCATTTTCATCGACATCATTCATGTAGCTCTTTTTTGTTTTGAACCAAAAACAAACTTTTCATTGATAAATGAAAAACATTATTCATTTAGCTCTTTATTATTGAGTAACCTGTTATAATGCAGGTACTTGCCATTCTTTGGAGTTTTAAGCTAGAAGAAAACAAGCATGTTCTTTAGGAGTAGACTTCAGGCACGAAAGTTATACGTGATTAAAAAAAGATGACTTCGATTGGAAATAGAAGACGTCTGATATCTCAATAAGGGGAATACATGTAAAGCCCAAAACCATCCTATATACTTTTACAATTGAGATTTTTATCCTGTATACCCTCCAAATTTCTTTTTCTTAATGACTTCAATATATGGGGGAGGATTAAACTTTGTCAATGATTAGCAACTCGTTGAATTCCTTTTCGGGCTCAATTTTAAAGGATCAAGAAGAGACTCCAGGTCAATCCTTGTGGAGTCCCCTTTGACACACATAGTTGGAGCAAAATAGCACAATCTTCTCAATTCCAAAGAACAAACTTCTTTTGACCTTTAAGTTTCTATTTTGCTTTCTCCTTCCTGGTGTACAAAGGTTTTTATAATTACTCTTCTAAATTCTATATACGCTATAATTACTCTTCTAAATTCTATATACGCCAGTTTGAGAATCTTTTGTAACTTTTATCGAATTCTTTTGATTATCAAGGGAATAGTATTAAAAGAGAGTATTTGCTGATGTTGAGCCTCAATTGTTCAATTTTAAGGGATAATATTAGCTTTCGAGAAGTCACACCAAAACTAAAACCAAATTCATCTAAATCCACAAGAATGGATGAACGTCAACATTGATCATAAAGATACTGAAAACCTTGGAAAGGGGGTAGGCTGTGAAAATTTCTAGAAAGTTTCTTTTTTTTTTAACAAGAAACGAACTTTTCATTTAAAATGTTCAAAGATATGAACTCTGGGAGTGAAAAGTAAATAACAAAAAGAAAAAAGAAACAAACTATAGCCAACAAGACAAAAAAGATTAGAATTACAGACCGTACCAATAACCAAACTAAACAGGGAAAAGGAAAGCCCCCCAATTAACATATATCATATTAGGAGACTAAAGCGAAAACACTTTTGCCATTGTCAAGCCAGCAATATCTTAAGAAAGGCCTATCTTCTTAAAAAATTGCTGCCTTTGTTTCAATAATCAAACATGCTGGGCAACCTCTCTATCACAAATAATTGAACAGGCAAGTCTGGCACAATCTCAGAAGAAAATTCAATTATGACTATTTAAAAGTTATTTCTTAGCTGGAAAGTAGGTGGAGACAGCCCAGGGAAGAAAAAGGGGTGCACAAAGAAATCATAGCTAAGATGAATGCAGAAAAGACAGAGCTAAAAGCCCCCTTAACAATGCTTCTCAGAAAAAAGAATCATCGTCCAGGATAATAGAACAAGAAAAAAGTTTATGTTTACACAGTTTTTCCTTCCAATACTCATAAGCTTAAACATAGAAAAAAATATCTGCAATACGTTTTATCTTTATTCCCCTTAATTTTAAGTGGTCGCATGTCCATGCTTTAATTTATGAATAGTAACATGTTGACATATCTGAAATATGAGATATTAGTCTTCTTATGGTGTGTTTGGGAGTGATTTTGATAGGGCCAAAACACTTCTGTCATTGTCAAAATCACTCCCGTTTCTATTGATCATGTTTGACAAATTAAAAAATTGATTTTAAGAAAGTTTAAAATCACTTTAAATTGATTTTTAAGATATCACTTGGATGGTGATTTTGAAAAATCAATTATGCTTAAATCTCTTTTTTCAAACACACTCTTAATGTCATATCAATGAGAAAACTTGATTGAACCCAAGTAGAACTAAGAAATGCAGTTCCCTCGAGACAGTATCATTAGGCTGATCCAAAAGCTACATAACAGAAAAAGGTTTCTATAGAACTACTTTATTGGGCAGAAAAGAGCATATATTCACCATACCTGAACCGTTTGATCAAAAGCACATGAAATGCCAAGCAGTTCCTGAACTTGTTTAATTGCATATGGAATAGATCGTCTAGTATCAATCAAATGAATAACGGGAAGGCAACAGTCCATCACATTCCTCCAAGCATCACCATTTTGTTTTACGGCCGATTTTTCCAGACAGATATCCAAGGCCAATTCACCATCCTGCCACCTGGAAGGATTTCTTTGCCAGCTTGTTGAATCTGGACTAATCCAGATCACATTTGCAGCACTAATCCGAGGGTCACCTGTCAGATTGGTGAAAAGGATGTCAGACAAACAAAATATGGTTTTAAAGCAAATTTAAGCCTGTTACTCTCTTTAATGCACACTCTCCACAGTTAAGTGGAGATTAATATTTTGTTTGTTCAACTTTTAAGATTTTGAGGGCTCAAAGGTTCAAGATCAGGAAAATTCAACAAACTTCAACTCCTACTCATGTGTGTTGAGGTCAAGCTCCATCTCCTTACTGATTGAAATTAGTTCAATAAGGTGGTGCTGAGTACTTCTCAATGCTCTGAGTTCATGCAAGGAAGTAGCGTTGGCACTTGTTTCTGGGGTCTAGAAGTTAAGAGATGGACCTACTTAGAAGCTTGAATCATATTATAGTTTTGGTGTTTTCGCGTGTCTGGTGGAACTCAACAATATTTTTCATAGGTTAAACTAAAAATTTAGTCATGCACTTCGATAGATATATTTATTTAGTTCATAAATATTAAAATTTACAATTACATCTTGAACTTCAAATTGTGATTCGTGTTAACCTTACTAACTATATAATGGCATGGCATGGCATGCCTATTGCCTATTGGACAAATATCGAACTTAGAATTGTCCAATAAACCCAACTTCACTAATATATATATTTAAAATCCAAAAATTAAAATTAAAAAAAAGGAACACAGAATAATATTTTATCTACCATTAATATAACTATCTTCAGGTTGATGTAGAGATTCTAGGTATTTCAAGTGATTTTCCATTTGCATTAAATCAAAATGTCTTCAAAGTAAACAGCAATGATGTAGGGTAATATGCATGGTTATAAGCAATAAATCAAGCTTTTTGCTCATGAAAGCTTGAGTGGCCCACAATTGGGTATTACCTTCAAGGGTCGTTTGTTTTTTGGAAATATAGATGTTCGACATCTTTGGATGCCTGGTATTTTAGATGTCTGGAATTTTAGATGCCCGACATCTTCAAATAGCCACTTTGTTTTGTAGGAAAAATTTATGAGGATGTTCATGAATATTTGAATAGTCATATTTGTTTTGCAGGATTTATTCTTAGGAATGTTCTAAATTTATATAATATTCCGAAAATATCCTTACAAATATTAATATAATTTATACATTAATTTAACATAATTTACATTTTATTATTTAATATTTTATTTTTTATTATAATAATTCCATATGTATTAATTTTTGTATGTTAGTTTGTATAATTCATATTAATATAAGATTTTTTTTAAATAATTAATATTAAATATAAATTTCATTTTTAACTTTAATATTTTTAAAAAATACAAATTTATAATTAATGTTATTGAGGTGAAATTTATTTATTATAATATCAAATTTTATTTTTTTAGGAAGAATAATATCTAACGTATGTATGTTGGTCGTTAAAAAACTATTGCTTCAAATTATATATTGAAGATAATAAATATTATTGATAATAATTGCTTCCAAATATTAAAAATAAATTTAGATATAATTTAATTTAATTGAAGTTTATTTTATATGTGAATGTAATATATAAATATATTTGATTGCATAAACTTGTTTATTAGTCCATGAATACATTCATTAATTTAAATTATAAAATTAAAAATAAAAATAAAGAAAATCGATGAAAGAAAATATATGAAAAAAAGAATGAAAGGCAAATATGTAAAGAGATGATGCCCTCGACATGGGAATCTCAGAAACCCATGTTTCAGAAATGCATCCAAAACAACTCAAATGCCTCTCGTATGGACATCTTAGGATACCTAGACATCTTGAAATATCCGGGTATCCTATGCAAAACAAACGTGGGAATTCAGATACCCATACCATGGGAATCTTAGAATCCCAAGGCCTCTAAGTGTATACCTCCCAAACTAGCTACAACAAAGAAATAATAGATATTTGAGTGGAATCAAAAAAATTGAGAAGATAAGTGGAACCCAGAAAACAGATCTGAGTGGAAATTTTATTAAAACAGATATATACTTGAAATGTAAAACTATGAACTGAACAAATGTATACATTTTACCCAGTTAACCATCCACTTCAAATCCACACAGAGACTTGAGTACTATCCATCTTGAGTAGTACCACTGTTAACCACAGACCATAGGTTCACTTTTTCTTTTTCTTTTTTTTACTAACTGGGAGTCGAATTCCCTTATACCCAGGGGCACTCATGCCCGCCCCAAGTCCCGGACCCTAGACCATAGCTTCAATCTTGCTAACCTTCCATGTACTAGAGCAATTAGAATGAGCCCTATTTAAAATAATAATAATAATAATACAGATCAATAATATTTTCATGCACCTCATCAAACATATAATGGACAAAGAAAGTAATATACCTTTGATGATCGTCTCTGACAGCAATGGAAATACTATGTCAGCAAAGATGTGTGCGGTTCTCTCCAAATGAGAATCTCTTGTCTCATGCCAGAATATTAAACACGGCATATCAGTACTATCTTCTCCATTCGATTGATGAAAAGAGCAGTTTTCACTGCCAAAATGCATCACAAACGCAACATTACTTTTAACTTCTTAAATTTTCTAATGTGCTACGCACCACATTGAGTGTATGTGAAAAATTAACAATAAAACCCAATGGTGAAAGTCTACCAAGATCTTTATTGAAAAGTAGACAGAAAATATGCAAAATAAATAAATAAGTTATTATCCCTACAAATTTTTTATGAGGCACTAAAATTGATACTTAAAATAGTTATAGATCCACATGACAATAAGACAGTAGGTTGCAACAGGTCTTGCTGTGAAAATTTTAAGGACAATGGATTAGTTGAATCAAATAACCTACGCCTGCTAGCAGTAGTATTCACTCAAACAAACCCATGGCTTGGTTTTAAAAAATCATGAACTTCAGTTCTATTGTCATGGGAAAGTTGAATCAAACAAATCTTCAATTATACGTGGCATGATACACATTTAATATGCAGATTAAACCTAACCTGAAAGAGAATCTTAATGCATGAGCAAATTTCTTCTTCTTCTTCTTCCTAAAGGAACTGATAGTCTCTTCACATCTTCGTGAAACATCAGCCATGTTTATCTTCAACTCTTTCAGTAGCATCTATTAAAGAAAGCTCTATTAACCAAGCAACAACTACAAAATAAAAAAGAACTCGGTATTTAGAAAATAAGAGTACGAAAATACAAACGCAAACCTTGTTTAGATGCACATGACCAACAAGCCCAGGACCAAACCCTGACAGAGTCAGTTGTCGGTTATATCTGCAGATAAGAAGCATGCAGGAATGCTTTGCATGAGAAATTATAATCAATTGATCTATTCTTCTCTTTTTTTCTTTCTCTCATACTTATCTCTCTTTTAAAGATAGAGTGAAGAATAGATAAGAACATAATAAGTGCACTTGTGAAGTTCCTCAAGCACCTTTTCTCCATAATATTATTAAAGTAGATAAGTACAGGAAAAATGTCAAAGGATATCCTCCCCCTAGAAACTTACAAAACATTGAACCCGCTCCTACCATACAATAAACAAAATGATTCATTACTAAATTTTATTTTCACCAAAAATCCAGAAATTCAACTTTATTCCACGAGCAGGTTTTCAAACTTCTCCTAAAATTTATACAACTTGTTTTAGCCACATCAACCAATTTCTTAATCAGTAACCATATCAAATATAATATAGCCAATAGCATTCCCCATAGAAATACCCAAAACACATATATACTTCTCATGGCAACCCTAAGTTTCAACATAAAACTTAAAAGATACAGCCTCGTTAATTTTCCAAGAGAAGAGATAGAGAACACCAAAAACAAAAACCATAAAATACATGGCAACTTTTCTCAACCACCTTCAATTCACTGATGACACCCTTCTCTTCGCCTCATTCGATAGGTATAGCATCACCAATCTGTTCAACATCACTAAAAACATCGAAGAGAGCTGCTGGGTATAAATGTGCTGCTTCTGACCTAGAAATCCCAACTATTCAGCATGGTTGCAAATTGGGCACATGGCCAGCCACTTACTTAGGTGATAGGTCTTCTGCTTGGAGGCAGCCAAAAACCCCTTGGCTTTTGGGAATAAATTCTGGAAAGAATTGAAAGAAAATTGCGCAATTGGAAATTTGCCTTCATCTCCAAGCAACACTTTCAAATCTCCCCAGCTTATTTTATTTCCCTATTTCAGGCTCCTACCTTGGTGAATGATTATCAAAAAAATTGAGAAATGCTTTAGAGCCTTCCTATTGGAAGGCCCAATCTTTCTGAAGGGGTCCACACGGCAAATTTGGCTCATATACAGAAGCCAATTCCTTGTGGCCATGAGGGCCCAGGAATTGGGAATATCAAACTAAGATATAGTGCCCTCATTGCTAAATGAGGGTGGAAATTCTTCACTGGAAAAATGCTCTCTGGCTCAAGATTATCCAAGAGAAATACAAGATTTCTCCAAATATGTCTTGGCCTTTTAGTTCCTGCCATATATCCCCAAAATGCGTTGGTTTCATATATCAAAACAAATCACAATTATCCAAAGAAAAGTTAAATGCAGAATTGGTGATGGTAATTCTATCAAATTCTAGACAAACTTTTGGATGCACTACGGCACTCTCAGCACAAGATTTCCAAAGCTCTTTAAGCTGACTAGTGACTACTAAACCGAATACCACCATTGTTGAGGCTAATCCAACAAGCTCATGGGACCTTCATCTCTGTAGAAATTTGAAAGATGGTGAGATTTTAGAATGGGCAATTCTTTCAAAGTCTCCCTTAGGGCCCGGGATCGGTGGTGGCAGAGATGGGTAGAATGGCCTCTGGATGCTTCAGGCATGGCAAAATTCCAAAGAAGCTTAAGTTCTTTATTTGGGAGGGGGCATCAGTACCAACGACAAGATGCAACGTAGGACCCCATATATTTCCCTTTCGCCAAATTGATGCCTGATGTGTCATGAAAATAATGAAACTCAAAATTATCTCTTTTGCATTGAACTTCTTCAATTGGAGTACAGCTCTTCCTATCAACATCAAGGACCTCCTCTCCCATATTTTGACGAACCACCCCTTCAAGAAGGATTAAAAAACACTTTGGAACA